CAATCGTGCGTGGATTAAGAATTGAAATAACCTTGATCTGAGAAAATTCTTGCTCGCTTTTTTCCTTGTGCGGGGGAAGGGGGGAAAAGGTCAAGATGTAAGTGGCAGGAAGTTCCATGCGAATAAGTAATTTATGTTGTGCTACGTAACATCCTATTATAAATTTATGTGTTTGTCACTTCTCTTTAAATACGCATACATAGAATGGTTCTTGCTGCAGCGACAAATGACTGACCTTTTATCAATTTGACCGAAGACCGAATATCAACATATCTATCAAAGCACAAACTATATTTTCTTGCATGTATTGACAACTCGGCATTCTGGTCGGAGCCGCCTTAAACCGCAAAGACTTTCTGCTTTTAGTTTGCCAAATTCAAATTAACTAAATTAACTAAAGACAATTTTTATTTGGTATTCGGACAATTCGCCCCTCGGGCAATTAGCCCTCAATTTGTAGACAATTCGCCACCAATGTGAAAACACCGAAGTTATTGATTTACCAAAGGAAAGGAAAGCTCCACTACTCTAGCTAGCCGGTCAGCCGAGTCGATCGTAGCTATCGTGGATGACACAAAATTATCTGCGGTCGAATTTATCTATTTTGTATCTGAACAATTGTATCTATAATAAAATAGCTAACTACAGTGACCTGCAATCCTTTATGCGTTGAAAAAGGCTTCGTGTTTCATACTTTAATAAACCAAGAAACGTGTGAGTATTTGAACCCAGTAGTCGAGGTTTGAAAATTATTACCGCTCGACTGTAGTTTTTCGCTTTCGCTGCTTACGCGATTGACGATCGATAAACTATTTTGTTTCGGTCGACTCGAGTAGTCGAGCTTTTTTCTTTTTTCAAGAAATAATTGCTTTGTGACAAAAACTATGTTTTCTACAATAATTTTGGTGTTTTCACATCAGGGGCGAATTGTCTAGAAATTGGGGGCTAATTGACCGGAGCGAATTGTCTGAGGGGCGAATTTTTTGACACTTTTTTTATTTAATTATGACAGGGGATTTTAACAAATCCGTGTCATTCCACATCTGGCAAGTATGGTTTCGTGTGTCTGGCGATTAATTAGTTTAGGCGCTGCATTTAGCTTTTAAGAGCTTATCGTTATAAAAAGCTCAAAGCTGGAAAATATTAATTCAGCACACCTCCCGTTGACAAAAAACGTACAAGGAAAGCATAACAATTTTTTTCACAGACAACAGACGCAGCCATGTTGGAAAAATATTTATACATTTACGTAATGTGTTGTTTTAAATTTTACTTTTTCCGTTTCTTTCTCTTTTGAAAATCGTTGATGTGGAAACTGTTTGCTTAATGACGACAAACTTTCATCACGATTCATAAACAAGAAAAAGACACTAGCCGTAGCCTCGCCAAGAACAACACGGCGAGATGATAATGAACGAGAGAAAGACAGTAAAGGACTTACCACTATGAAAGATTTCGAAGTTCATAACAAATAGAACTTCACCTATTTGTTAAACAATATAATCAGTTCATAACAACAGTAATGTCAATTGAATGATTTCACAATTTACTTAACCTGTGCGCACTCTCGAAGGAGCAGCGATGTTACGCGTGAAAAGTCGTGAGGTCTGCGGAAAACACCGACTACAATAATATTAATGAATGAGTGTCCATTTATCAGAGTTACTGTTACTAAGCCACCGTTCGCTGATGGGAATTAATCTCCCTAATATCGCATCGACATCTTCGATACTATCGGTTCACGCTATATTAATGATACACAGCTTTGCACTAGGAATTAAAGACAGAGCGCGGATGTGACAAGTTTTAAGTATTATTGCCTGATGTGAAAGTCAATTGTTGCACCTTTACAAACGATTTTGCTCATTATACTTTCTTTATACTTTCTATCGTTAGGTTACTTACCTCACACGGCTTTTCTTGATCGAATCTGCGGCGATGAAATTACAATCTTCGATTACTGTACATGTACGCGACTCTTCTCAAGCTGGACAGAGTGGGAACTCCAAAACAGTGACAATCTTCGGACAAGAAAATGGGTTTGAACTAATCAACTCACACCAAATCGAAGTCTACTATTCAATTGAAGTAACAAACGGGGAAGTGAGGATTACATTTGGCTAGAAGATCAAGCAGACTTCCAAAATTTCTTGTTAACAGCAAGTGTCCAACATGAAATATAATCGTGTTCCGAAATTGCACTGATTCATGGGAACAAAACTCTGTTGTAACCCTTTCCTGTTAAGGCCAGTCTGTTTCAATCGTGGTGAACATAGGTGATTATGAAAAAAGGCGTCGCATTCTTTGTGCCAATTACACTGTTCGATCACCGCGTAAATTAATACCTTGATTCTATGAGAGGTTTTCTGTTCATTTCACCGGCTCAAAGTAGTAATCATTGAATTTGCTTTTGAAAGGCATTTACGATATTGACCGAGTTTGTGTAAAATTTTTTTTTGTACATTCGAGATTTGCGGTATCTTAGACGATAGCGCGCGGCCAGAACCTCGTCTTCGATAAAAACGTATCTTTAGTTGTTGGGTTGACACAAGTTTAATTTCATTTAGTTTCTGTGAACTAGAGGAATATCGCAAGACAACTCAAGGGCAGAAGTAGTTTGTGCACTACTAAGACAAAGGAAACTCAAATTTTTAGCGATAGTGGATAAAAAATCCTTTCCTCATTTAAAGATTCAGTGGTTGAGTCCATGCTCCACATACCTGGTAAAACCAACAAGGAGAAAACAAATAGCTGTTTTTCATCTTGTCGGTGCGATATTATTCAAACTGATTGGGGCCCGGATAATTCTTTTGCCGTTTCTTTCCTTGCTTCCTTTATTTTTTTCTTAAATATCCTTTCCTTTTTTCCGTTTATTTCCCATTCCTCCCTTTCCTTTCTCTTCCTTTTCTTTCTCCTACTTTCTTTCCTTCGCCTTTTATTTTTTCTGTTCAGTTACTTTTTCTTCTCCATTTAATTTTTTCTTTTCGATTTTTTCCTTCTTTCTTGGTTTTTTTTTTTTTTCATTTCCTTTTTTTCCGCTAAAATGGAACTCAGGGGTTTGTTAAGTGAAGAACAAAGGGGGGAGGGGATGGGAAAGGAGTTAAGCGGGGAGGGCCTGGTTAATAAATATGCGTTATTGATCAAGCGTGAGGTCAAGACGGCTGGATATTGGCCAAGTTCTCTTCTTTTTGAGTTTTTAAGGACAGAGACAAAGTCGAGGTCGATAAAAATGCAAAAGAGAACAACGCTAATATCCAGCCATCTTGACTGAACAAGTCTGGTCAGTAGAGGATTTATCATACATGCAGCCAAAAGATTTAGCTTTATTCAGAATCACGAATGTCTTTCATGTTTCCTTTTTTTTTTTTTTTGACTTTCATCTGCCGTTTTTGGCGTCTTCATCACCGACATTGTCTGAGAATAATGAACTTTGTAAGTCCGCTCGGCAACTCCGTTCTGTCAAGATGGGTCCATCTTTGCCGCTCGGGTAGCCAATCAAGACTCGCTATATATATTGCCCACGGGCGCTGCCAGCGATATCATAATGTTTATTCCTGATCAGCTTTTCGACACCGCAGTATTTTCAGAAATTCCTTCCTCATTGATCTATTCATGGCGCCATATATCAAAGGATTAATCCACGCACTAGCATAGGCGAACATCGAAGGCACAGACAAAGCCGGCTGATTAACCCACCGAACTAATATTTCAAAGACACTTAAGGGAAGCCAGCACACACAAAAGCCAATTACTGAAGCAAAAAGAATTCTGCAGGTGCGGAATTCTTCTGCGCGAGTGGTGGTCCCATTATTCTGTCGTAATGAGGGTATAACAGCAATATTATGGTGCCTTACAACTAAGAAAACTTTTCCGTAACAATATACGATAAGAAAAATCGGTAACATCAAGTAAAGACTCCACAGAAAGAACCAAATAATAGATGAGTGATCCGGCCAAAAAGCCATACAGTACAAAAACTGAGGCTGCCATATGAAAACAACATAGGCTGTAGGAATCGAAATGACGCCTGTTACGAGCGTAAAAACAAATACGAACAAAATTGAGAATGCAGCTTTCTTTTTGGTAAAGAGCTGAGGATAGCGCTGAGGTTTCGCAACACAGATGTACCGGTTGAGGGCTGTTAATGAAAAAATGTAGAGTGATACACCGGCCCAAAGATATATGATAAACCCCTGAAACTGCGCAAAATTGTATCCGAACGGCCACTCTCGCAAACATGAAGCAGCGATAGAAAAAGGACTCACAGTTACTGACACAGTAATATCCCAAAGTGACAAAGCGACTATGTAGATGTTGGTTACTGCCAGTGATCTTCTCTTCCGATAAGCGGCCAAACAGACCAATGTATTTCCAACGATGGCCATAAATGAGTAGAAAACTAAAACAGTTGTTGTTACCACCGCCGTAACAGCGCTTCTCGAATCAAGTTCAGTTGGCTTCATGTTACAAGTCGTAGATCCTCAATCCAAAAAAATATTATCACACTTTCAAAATTTCAAACTTAGGTTCTTGAATGCCAAGTAATAATTGTAAACTGGGAGAGCCAACTTGTTAGTAGCTTTGCTTCGATTCTCACATCAGGACTACAAAAATCAGTTTAACTTTAAAAATGAAACAAGGCCTCTCACTGTCGGAGCAATTCTAAAATTTAAATTTCATTGTCTTGCAAGCGAAAGTGAGCTCTTGCCATGCTCTTACTGGCAGAGTTAAAATAAAGGGAAAAAATTTTTAAGGGATAAGACCCCCTCGCTATCAAATTTTTCCTTTTTAATAACATTCGAGATAAATCTGTAATAACAACAGACAGCAAATCTCAGCGTAGGTCAACACCTATATGCCGATATTTTGTAAAAAAAATAGGAATCATTATACGAGGCAATAGAATCCCAAACATATCGAATTGTTTCCTTGATATGACGACTGCAACTTTTATTAGAAGTTTCTAATGTTTCGTCTACTCATTACAAAGAAATACTAGGTGACAGCTACCCGTCACATTACGAGTAGTACCTCCTTTTCGGCGAAGACCATCACGCGAGTTTGATCATCAATTTTTTTTTCACATTTTTTTTGTAATTCGCGCGACGGACTTTGCCAAAAAGGAGGGACTGCTTGTAGTCTAGCTTCTGATAAGCTCGTACAGTGAATGTTCGCCCTTACTCGTTGTAAGAGCTTGGGGAGGAAATGACTACGGAAGGCGAAAACACTTTTGTTGCGAAGAAAAGTTCTTGTTATTTTCTTCGTCATGCAGTAAAACAATTGTTTTCAATCATTAAAATTGCGTTCACCAAGAGAGGTCAATAACATTGACCGTGCACGTGCTTGCCATATGTTTGATACATGTGGGCAAAAATAAGAAATAGCACAGAGGGTAATTGGGTTCTTGAGACGACGCCTTTTAAACCAAAATATTGAGACTAGCGTCATAGTTTGTATTGTCTCATTATGAAATGCTCTGAACAGGAGATCAGGTTTAGCCGTTATATTAGGAATATTTAACTCTGTGAATATTGTAAACCTCAGTTCTCTCTGTGTGGTACCCAGTTTAGGAGGCTGGAGGTTCGGCTCAGGTTCTAGCTCTAATTGTGCTTCAATTTTTTTTTGTTTCAGCGAGGATGGCTCATTTGAACTCTTAGTGGGGAGGAGGAATGGGGTTTGTCGGATCTTTTTGGTTGTGTCACACTAAAATTGGGACAATAGAAATTGGCCTTTCGCGACCCCCTCATCTACAGTCCATTCTAACACTAAATCAAACATGACCGGTCGACTAAACGATCGCGAAGATATAACGTTAACTCGCCCTCATCAGACGCCTGCACTGAAGGCCTCCTCCAGGTCTGACGACGATAAAGTCCATCAGTTTGCGTGTTATTAAAATGCACTTTATTGTCAAGTATCTTTAAAAGTTCTTTAAATCCATTTCAGAAAAAAATAAATGCATTCCACAAGAATTACATCCTAAGTCGCAAAAGAAATGCTTGACAAACCTGCAAGCCACAAAAAGGTGCCTTTAGGACGCACGACGAACAAATGGAAATGACGTAACAGTTAACAATCATTCACAAATGGAAGTGAATAGTGACTGGTATATAAAAATTATTGATATGCCATAAATTCATCACATCCACTCTCGAAACAAGAGGCCCACGGAAGAACTGCAGAAAATATTTTAAACCTAACACTTACTTACCAAGTTGTGAGGCATCATTTACGGCCCAGGATATGCAGTAATGGGAGAGAAGTTGATGTAAAAGATCCACTTCATCGAGGAATTCTATTCTCTCTATTCTGTAGAGCAACAAACACGTTGAACGATTGAGTAAAAGTAATTAAAGGCAGTTAACCATCGCTCCGCGAGATCCGATTTTTAGTCTTAGCTATTTACTCACACAAAGCTTGTTACTTTGCCGATCCTAACAGTATAAATGACGAATGTCACACATGAAGATGGCGCTGGCCTTACTCACCAACGGGTTCTCTGTAGCTCACTGGTAGAGCATCAAAGCACAAACATCCGAACGTCCGGCGATCACATCGATCATATCATATCATTTATTATATATCACATCGTAGGGGTCTTTAAGGTTCTCTTTGTTCTACGCTCGCACCAAATACATGGCATCCTCAGTCAATGGACAATATCATTGTCGAGCTGGGTCAAGCTTATAAGCAACGCTTACATTTTAAGCATCCCTTACAATAGAACTGAATAGATGAATCAATCAATCAATCAATCCAAACACTTAGGTTGTAGCACTTATACGGAAAGGTTTGTCCATCTACTGATTCCAGAACGAAGGGGGTTATAATTGAAATTTGGCGAGTTTTATTTTTTTAAAACAGAGTGAGGAAAAGCAGAACAAGGGAGAAAACGAGCTCGATGCACGCGCAGCGAAGCCCAATACTTATCAAAATAGTAGTAATCCTTAGGTGTAATGACGAGTCTAGGTATCAAACTCGGGAGCACAGTTGTAGGAGGAAAGTGCTGTCCTAGCGGAGCCAGCACTGTTCCTACATAAAAAAAGCTATTTCATCAGACTTGAAGGTTCCACACACCTTGCTCTGTCGTCAATAGGCAAGCTGTTGTAAATACTCATCATGTCTAGGACTTCAGCTTCATCCCAGTTGTTCGACAGAAATCTTTGTTTCTGTTTAGGAAAATGTTCAATGTATTATCATGCAAAGTTGCCATAGATTCGACAGACCACCTAAAAGCGGCATCCAATTCACTGTAAAGTCAATAAAGTTAACTCAGAAGGCAAAGTAACTCACATGAGATTCGAGGTCAGGACAGGCATTTGCTCCCAAAAGCTCACAATTTCTACCCTGAAAAGACAAACATATTCACATTTGCGCTTAATTATCCCATCCGACCATTTACAACTTGACCCTCGAGTCACCGAAAAACAGTGTAGAAAAGTTAAACGCAGTTATAACAAAATAACGACCATCTATACAGTATTAATTTAGCCTACGATTCTAATAAATACAGTTTTTCTTTACCCTGAGATTCTGGATCATAACTTGACCAAATCTGTCCTGCATATTCACCTATAAGTAAATCAAATCAAAACAGTTACATCAGTTAAATCTCATACAGGCGACCTAACAACCACCAGAGTTCATCCCAGTTTCCATGGCAATAGAACACTAGAAGTATTGGTGCTTCTTCTAAATGGGACACCGGTCCATTGCAGGGTATCCTCTTCCTAAAGTGTAAAGTGTAGTATTTTGCTTATGAAGACAACGTAATGACGCTGACCAAGCCTTACACACGGACCTTTCGAACAGGAAATCAACGTGTTAACCTTTTAAGGTCATAATGACCGTAAAAGGTCAAAATAATGAAAATACTTGTCCACCTATTGTAACTTGAAGCTGTGCCTTCTCAGGGCTTTTTACTCTAATTGCAAATAAATAAATAAACAAACAAATAAATCTGTCATGGACAAAATCCTTTCATGATCCCTTGAGTGCCAACCTTTTCTTTTTTCCTTTTGTTTCACTGAGACTCTAAACTACACTTACTTGTTCATAGTTTATAAATACAGCATTTTTAAAATTGGTTCCAGCCCAATTAATAATGGCTGCTGAATGTTCGGGTTCCATATAAATCAGGACACATTCTGTGATAAAAACTGTTGGAAGGCTGCAGAAGAACAGTGGACAAACATAATAGGATTTATCATGAACATTTTCAGATGAGAATATCAACATTGCTGCTGATCACCACACACATAAGGAGCCGACGTCAAATCTAAATTTCTCGCCCAACCCCCTATATGAGGTGCATCAGAGGTTCTTTGCTGCTGCTTACAAGAGGGTCTGAATGGCTTTCACGTTAAAAAGAAAAACAGCCGTCAGACGTAAAATTGACAAATTTAGTTAGTTAACCGTTAAAATGTTACTTTTATTTGAAACTCAAATAAATCAACTCTTAGTTGTAAATGGCCAAAATTCTAACCGTAAGCCGTAAAAGCTGTCGTCACATTTAGACCCTTCTACAAGAACACGGCGTACACACCGTTTCCAAATCGGCCACGACGCTCTGATGGCATTAAGTGCAGCTTAAACACGCAATAGAACAAGCCATACGAGACAGTATAGAAAAGCTTCACAGAAGCAAGAAAAACCTGACTCAAGGTAGCTATTTCAAAACTGCACTTTCTATGTTTCGTAAGAAAAAATTATGTCTTTAGCATGCTTACCTTTTATCGATTCCTATTTCTTTTAGTTTTCTCTCTAATGTATCAACTTCTCTCAGATCCACAGCTAGGAGATGGTAGTGTTTAGAATGTGCTTCACTCCCTTCTGCAATTCAATTAATGGTACCAACAAACAGTAAGAAAATTGTTGATGTGAATTACATTCGTTACAAAAAGGTCAACCTAGGCTAAGTTCTCCTCCTTTAGCACATGATAACAACGGTCGTGAGCGATTCAGAGAAAAGGCGTTTTGAAAAGCTTGGAGATGCTAAACATCGACATCTTTCCATGTATTAACATTTCATTTCGCTTAATTTAATGTTAGACTAAGATGCGTTAAAAATGTCATTATTCAGTACTTTATTCGTTATTGCCATACATTTTCTTACAATTCTTTCAAATGTACAACATGCCAACTCACTTATAGAGTGGTTTGCCAGTGGTTAAGGTTAGTTTCAATCTACTACTCGATAAGGACACATGTTCATGTCACACAAATCCTTGGAGCATTAACCTCTGGGGTTTTGGGCGGTTTTTCCGAGGGATCAACGTAAATAAAAGCAATGTCACATTTTCCATAGTTGTGATTGGTAGATGTGATTACCTTGTTCTTATGACAATCACTCGCTCAAATGTTTGCGTGAAAACCGAATACGTAGCTCGATGAAATTAGTTTCACGACAGTGTCATATATATCTGTACTTCGTTAAAACACTTGACATACCAAGACAAGACCTACCAATTTTTAATCCATCGTCTGGAGAAAATGCTTCCTGAAGTTTTCTTCTATTCCTTAAGAGAAGACAACTACACTGCTAAGAATTATAAGCACATTAGAACAATTCCACATCAAATCTGATTATTAAGAATCTGAAGAAGATAATTTCAAGGGAAAGGTGTTGCATTATTATTAGAATTTTTCTTCGCCTTTCACTTTCTACAAAAAGATACTTCAAAGATTAAAATTTAGTCAATAGCGGAGTGCAGGAAGACATGCTGTTAAAGCGAGCGCAGCCGAAAGCTGTCCGTATTATGTCGATAGAGTGCGAGCCGACGCGTTTTTGGTATTGGAGGTACGTCGTTAATACGTAGGTAGAGTTTTTACTAATACACTATTTGTGGGTGAGTACGAAGGGTGTCGGTAATGAGTCAGTAGGATGTAAGCCAACGCGTTGTAGTTGTTGGTAATAGGTCGGTAGAGTGTCGGCTTCCAGTGCGAGTACATCCGAAGGGTTTCGGAAATAAGTCGGTAAGGTGTCAGCCGACGCGTTGTTGCCGTTGGAAGTGTGTTGTCAAAACGTCAGTAGAGTGCGACCGCCGCTATTTTGACGTCGGAGGCGTGTCGGTAATACTTCGGTAATGTGTCGGCCGACACATTGTTGGTCTCCAAAATCAATGCAAAGTAAATGCAGAGGTACTTAGCCGATGCGTTCATTGGACCAAATTCTTTAATTTTCCACAAAGTTAACAACATAATTTAATACTCTGACACAAATACTAGCCTTAAACCAAGATAAGGAAACCTACGGTATTTGATCACTGGTTCGTATTCAAACTTGCCTTATATTGTAGCACTTTCTACCAGTCACACTCGCAAAATCTACTTCAACAAACAGCTTGGGTGCTAAACTTTCTTCCTTTAAGAAATCCAAATCATTCACATTACCATAAACACAAGCCCAATTAACAATAGGTATTGCAGTGGAGTAATAGAAGTAACTGCGATTGTGGTGATACAATTTACTCAAGTGTTCATTATCAAGAAGTCTAGACTGTTGTATCATGTGGTTCTTAACAGAAAAATGATACAGAGCTCTCCAAATTCCCGGCCAATCGATCAAACATTTTAAACCAAATTCGAGTCAAAGGCGCCCAGGCAGGAGAAAAAAACAATCAAAGTTCGAATCTATGTGATGCGCGCCATGGTTTGAGCGGTAATATGCTAAACGTATTATGTGGGCTGACTTTGTTAACTTGTTTAGCTACCCAATGTTGTGTGCAACAAACATGACGTTGAACGAAAATGTTTGATCGTCTAGGCGGGACTCTGAGGTCCCCTCCATTGGGTTGATATAATATTTTGAGACTTGGCAAATATACATGTTTAACTGTAAAAAAAAAAATGTAATCATAAAAGTAAGGATTGAAAGGGGAAAATTGGCAAAAAACAATAACAAAAACAAATTATCTTTCATTTAATTTATAATTTCCAATGATCACTTTCAAAACCATATCAAGCTCCCACTTGTTAAGGTGACAACTCCTTTTGGCAACAATAAAAACTTCATAGCTGTTCAGTAGTCTGACTACTGACATGTATATTTTAAAGTTCACTTTCAATTAACTAATTAACATTCTAATGATCCTTGAGCCATGGTTTCATCATGTCTGCGAATATCAAGATCTTTAAAACCTCAACCAAAATTTTCATATCTACATGTCCACCTTTCTCAACTGTTGGCCTAGCTACTCACATGAAAATTTTTGTCTAGAGAAATTTCAGCTTGGTGATGGATCTTAAGGGAAGTTTCAGCTCTGATACCTGGATGAACATTGCACTACTTTCATCCAAGTTTAATGACTTGTGTAAGCATATTAGGAGATTGATGGAGGAAGCAGCTAGAGTAGGCCTTAAACTTAATGCAAGAAAGTGCAGAACACTGAGAACTGAGTTTACTAGGAACAGGGAGAGCATTGTGGTGAATGGTGAAGAAGTGGAAGATGTTGAGGAGTTTGTGTATCTTGGAGCTATTGTAGACAAGGAAGGCAGAGGCAGTAAAGATATTAGGAACAGAACACAGAAGGCATGAGGTGCATGTTAGAGGCTATGGAAGGTGTGGGCAGCTAGAGGAATCAGAAGGAGAACCAAGATATGCCTATTCAAGACTTTAGTCCGACCGGTCCTGCTTTATGGTTGGGAAACATGGAAGATCACAAAAACAGATGAAAGAAAACTGAACAGTTTCCAAAGCCAATGCCTAAAACGGATACTTAGGATTAGATGACCGCAAAGAATGGTAAACCAGAGAGTAGTTGAAATAGCAGAGATCAATGAAATTAGCTGTGAGGTGTGAAGAAGGTGGAACTGGTTGGGACACGTACCCAGGAGAGAGGGTGTAAACAACTGTTTTACAGCAAGGGGTGGACACCAGAAGGTCGAAGGGCGAGAGGGAGTCTAAAGACCACTTGGAGAATGACTGTCGAAAGAGAGAGAGGCAAGGTGGAGTGGAAGAGCTGAAATGTGGCCAAGGTGGTGGCACATAACGTGGAGGATTGGGTGGACAATGTGACAGTCTTATGTGCCTACCAGCGCAACGACTGATGATGATGATGACAATGATGACCTGGATGAACAAGCCACAACCTTTAAATTCTCATTTCAGTAACTATACTGAGGAGTTCAAATAGGATTTTTTTCCTCTGATTATTGAGATCTCTGTGGACAACACTGCCTCCCCCTTAATGAAAGAACCAAATCTTGCACTAGAACTCACCTTTAAAAGCCAAAAGAGGGAATCGAATCCTGCCCCAAGATTAACAACCTGACAATTGCATTCTGTTTTAGCAAGAAACTGGTCCAGCAGAGTATGCATACCTTTAACACGAGCATAGTAACCTGCAGAGAGGCAATGAACTCCATTTAATAAAAAACAATTGATAAGGTTAATCATTTGGAAAATAAATTTCACTTCATCACCTTATCATAGAAACTACAAACAAACTTGCAGTTTTGTTCAAAGATGGCAGAGATGAATTCTATCCAATAAACTCAAATTTCTCATCCAAGCAGTAAATGAAAGCAGATTTCTGGACAAAATGTTTTTAAAAAAGGTAATATCTTCATGAACCTTCATATATTTCTTTTTTTGAACCAAGACCTGCCTTAAGTTTGTAACTGGGGGCTTTGCATGTGCTTTGAAGTGCCAAGCAGTGGAGCCATGCGAAAAGAGCAGAGAAGCCTTGAGAGTCATGCAACAGAAAATAGCACTAGTTTTGCTGTTTAATGCTTTGGAGCACACACCAAACAAAAAGCAGCACAGGCCACAACATGAAGCAAGTAGCAGAATTGCTTTTCCACCTTGAAGGAGGAAAAGCCTAGAGCATTTCTTCAAGTTCCCTTAACATCCCATCAGTGTCCATTTATAACCCTAGGTGGAAAGAGGTATGGTAAGGGTTAATGGCAAGTATTTTACTCAACAACACAACACATAGCCCTTAGCCAGGGTTGTAACATGAACCACTAAACTGCCTGTCTAACTATAGAGTTACCTCTGTTTATTTCTGGAGTCTTTCTCTCTCCTAGTTTGGCAAAGTGTTGAATGTAACCGTCTGACCAGTAACCTAACTGAACAGCAAACCTAAATCACAACAAACAAGCAAGGGTGAAATTTTTAGCAACTCCATAAAGAGATAAAATAATTATCAGTCAAAGGAATTTTTTAGCAAGAACTTGCACCAAAAATGAGCAAGCTTCTGAAGGACATCAAATGATAACCTCATGCTAACTTTATAGGAGGCTGTCCTCTGAGCATAGGGGTGAGAGGGAAGGAATGAAGGTAGGGGTCATGCAGGAAAGGAGGTGACACCTATAGTACCTGCTGAACTGCTAGCTAATTATGCACACTTTGAAAGAAACAAAGACACAATTTCCTCATGTTTAAGTATTTGCTCCTCAAGCATCCCATCCAAAACACTTTATGAAAGCTTTAGTCAATAGTACGAGGATGACTTCACTTTCCATTGTTTATCTTAAGAATTTTAAACATAAACCCGTGGTTGTTCAAAGAGGTCATGAGTTGCTGACTTTGCATCTCAGTCTGAAGACAGGCGGAGAAAATACGTGTCCAAAAGTCTCAGCCTCTTTTCCAGTGACTATCTTAATGTGTATTATGGGGAGAGCGGTAAAGTTTCCGCACAGCCCCATACTATTGTAAAACAAATCTGTTTTCCAAATGGCAATGTATTGTTTTTGGCACTGTTTTCTCTATCCAAGAACTGAATGCATAATGAAGTATGGGGTTGTGCGGAAATTTTACCTGGAGAGCTAACGGTTTAGCGATGACACAAACCGAAATAACAAAGCCGATCAAAGCAGAGGAAACGATCGGATGATGGCCCCCTTCCTTCGATTAGGGCAACTGATTGTAAGACTCAGAAGCCTCAATAAACTATTCATTCAACTCGTCTCGTTAACTACAGAACTCCCACGGGCCGTCAGCTGAATCATAAGCTTAAGTTTCATATCAGGAAAAGGTGACTAAGCTTCCTGTTGAGGAGCCTTCCTTTTCCTCCTGATTATATACAACGAATTGAAAAATTGTTTTTTCTACCTCTTACAGGCCGTAGCATCGTCATTTGTGGAAATCACAGCCTCATCCTGTGACATTCTTCACTCGCGCAAACATTTAGTTGCTAAGCCGGATAGCTCCACTTATTTCAGACAGGCCGCCATGTTTAATTGCGTTGCGAATTGCATTATGGGCCATCCCTTCTGTTCCGTAAAAAAGAAAAAGGAGAAAGAAGGAAAGAAAAACATGGGAAGAAAATCGACGACATTCATTCCGAAGTTGAAAAAGAAAAAAAAAATTCAGAACATTTCAATATCCCTTGATCTTCCCTTTTTCATTCCATTTCTCATTTTAATACCTGACCAACAAATTTTGGCCAAATCTCAACCTATAATTAGTTGCAGTAATTAAATTTATGGCCTGGGGGTGGGAACAAGGGGTTTTTTTAGGGGGGATCACGTAGTTCCCAGGGGGGAACAGAGAGGGAATCGATCACTCCTTGTCAAGAGAGTTTAAAAGGGGGACCATGGAACATTGACTGTTAATTAACTGCAAATGAGGCGGGGATTATAATAGAGAGCCTTATGGGGGGATCAGGTAATTTCAAACAGGCTGCCATGTTTATTAGCGTTGCGAATTGCATTAAAAAAAACAAACAAACAAAAAACATGAGAAGAAGAAAATCCCTAACCCAGGGTTAAAATTCAATCCAAGCTTCTTTATTTCTCTGTTCAAAAACCTTTTGAAGAAAATTTTTCCTTTTCTTTTCAGAACGTCCAATCATCACGTTGATCATTACAAAGATTTAAGCTGAATTTTCTTTTACAGGTTTCAGATCAGAAATCAAATTTCACACAAACCCTGTATTATCATAACTCAGCTTTGAACAACCCAGCCCTGGTCTTCCTTTTCTCATTCCGTTTCTCATTTTAATATCTGACTAACAAATTTTGGCCAAATTTAACGTATGATTAGGTAACAATCCTGGGGTGGGGGCAAGGATTTTGGAGGGTTCAGGCACATTTCATCGTGCCATAACCAAAACCCACCAACCCCCACACCCAAATGATAAATAACGAATTGCCCCTTGGAAGGGGTTACATTGCTACATGCAAAAGGGCGAATTATTCAATTGGTTCCTTTGGTTTTTTCTCCCTAAAAATCAGGAAAGAGTGGGGCTGGAGATAGAGAAGTCAGCGACATACTGAGACACACGACTCATATCAATTTTTTTTATTTGATCTGGATGAGATACTTTGCACAATCTTTTTAGTGGTGAAATGAACAAGCCAGGGTCCCTTTTACGTTCATTGGCGTAAACAAAATTAACTACAAAAGTCTGTGGTGATGGTAAGAAGAGATTACAGGCACTAAACAATAGCCTTATTTTTTCTCTTAAAATTCTTGACAGAACAACATCACAAGCCTCTGCAGAATAAACCATTAAGTTGGATGTAGTTATAGCATAAGGCCTGGGAATAGTAACATTTGTTTTCTGTTGAAAATTTAAAAATATAAAGTATGGCCTAATAAATTTCGAGTTAAGAAGGTTGCAGGCTTTAAGATGGCAACAATAATTTAAGTTGTAAAATGAAAGATTCTTTTTTCAAGGTAATACTAACCTGGATGGAATTAATTTTTTTCCTACTGAAAATATAGCATTAAGTGTTTAGTGATAGTCCTTCTTACATTATAAACCACTGTTTTGAGATAAACCTCACAAGTCAGGCTGACTTGACATAGTACCAAAAAACTGTGCTTGGAAATGTTTACCCTGAATTTTTCAATCCATTTTCAAGGCTAAGGTCACTTGGATTACTTAAACTTAGTCTGTAACACACTTATCAGGTTTATATGTTGCTCACCACAATGAGCAGACAAAATAACACTCGCAATGGCATCATCTGGTAACCAGACAAGACATTTTTTTTTCTTACAAATGATAGAATAATAGGAATTATAGTAACTGTATTGTAATCATGTTTAAGAAATTATCTTATAGTGAGGGATGTCCATGTGAAACAAGCAAGGAGCTTGAAACTAAATTAAAGGAGATCTGCCTAAATGTGATATTAAATGAGCACACTTGAAGTCTAATCAAGCAATTCCACATTAATGGCAGCCTGGAATAAAGCAGGTTATGAATCTTGAACAACTGTTGAGAGAGAGGAATGCTGAAGATTCCATCCTCGATACAATGGATGTCTAGCAATCACCCAAAAGTTACATACCTTATTGGCTAAAAATAATGTGTTTTATGTGGAGTGCATAAGGGAGAGCCTTAAGTGACTTTTGATAAAAAATCTACTTCTCCCTATGTTTCACAAAGGATCACAAGACAACTTGGCATGAGAATATAGAAGTCTATCAGTAGTTACTTGTGCCCTTTGTCCATGCACCCCTTCATTTATCTCAAAAGCTTTTGTAATCAAATCAAAAATTGATGAATTTTTTAAGGCCTAACAAGTGTCCAAGCTCATTTCACATGGCAGGTCCCCACTCTTCTTTTTGAATGTTTCAAACAATAATAAGAAGCTCACTCAGATACCTTATGGTAACCAGTACCCTCACTGCAGCCAGTCCTTAACAATCTTATTACAAAACAAAACAAAACATTTGCCAAAGATAAGCCGTAATAAATAATTGTTTCAGTGGGATTGAAACTGAGAAGATAAAGTCCCATTAGTATCTTGAAAAAATAGTTTAGCTCTTAATTAACAAACAAATCATTTATTAATGACTCCATTACTTTGAACGGTACATGAAAAACTATAACAAAAACAATCATTCACCAAAATAGAGGTAAACAGTGGTGGAAATATCCACCACGGTCAAAGACACTGAGATGAATGTTTGTTTTACTAAATACCACACAGACACCCAAAAAAATTGCTTCTATCTATCTCACAACATAAAAAAATGGTCAAATGGTCAACTCAGGATGCGCAAGTTGAATAGTGCTTGCTTGCAGAAAGCACTATTCACCTGTGTGGTATATACTAACTATAATAATTGTCTTATCTTTATAATGTATTTTGGAGTAAACATGATACATGATAGCACCTATCTTTGGCAAATAATTTTTTTTTGCTTGAAATAAGATTTACCTTTTCAAGCAGCCACAGAAGTTAAAAAGTATCCATTAGAACATTAGGTATTTTTATGTTACAAGTATATTAAGTTTATTTTAAAAAATATAAAAAGTTTCCTCTTTAATAACACCTCAACAACTACCATGATTGGTTAAATTAGAGTAATGTCGCAAAAAAAGCCAATTTGCAGAACTTAAATTAGTTGATATACAAGCACACCTTGATATGACATCGAAACATGTTAAGGAAAAACAAATACAGCCTTTTGTAAACAAAAACTGCTGTTACCAGTCTATACAGCCTGCAAGCAAGCACTCATAGGCACACAACTACACCAACCAGCAAGCAACCAGGAAAATCTGGATCAGTATCAGTATCTGAGCAACTACACACCTACCCCTCCCTTAACCAAACAACAGTCAAGTGATAACAAGTTAGGATTAATGTTGGGTTGGGGAGGGGTGAGTGTGTACTTGGTCAAATGCTGACATTCATCCAAAAATCTTTTATGTCAGACCCCATGGTGAATTACTTCAATTGCTCAACTAGCTCTTATTGGTTCGCCAGTTGTATTGCAGTGCTCATGAGAACCTGCTCATTGGCTAGTCTTGATAACGTGCTTATTGGATTCTTCTAGTAAATTAATTTGATTGAAAAAATTCACATACAACACCCCAATTTTAACACCACAAACACCAGTTGATTATGAGAAAACTGACTCTTCAAATACAATTATTTTGCTTTTTCAACCTTTGATTTGGAAAATCAGGACAATCAGTCAACCCTGATATCTTGATTAAGGAAAATCAAAACTTAAGTGAAACAAACATTTATGAAGGAAGGCTTCTAAATGTTACAAATAGCTTTTCCTTGTGCAGGGGTTTTCACATCTGTTGCAGCAGAGGTTTCAATATCTTTTTCCATAGGGGCAGCTGATGCTATAATAAGTGGCTAGCTGTAAGGCAAAGCCTAAACATGAGTGCCTGTGTGCAAGCTGAACAGATGGTGACATGAAGTCTTACAGGTGGTGGTAAAGCACCTGTCACCATATTTTATTGAAACCTCTGCACAGGTTGGAAAGAAATGTTTGGCCTGTAAAACTAAGGTAGAAGAGGTATGTGATGAAGGTTAGTATAAGAAAGTTGTGAAAATTCTCACAGTCACATCATGAAACTCTGATCTCATCTTCAAGGTTTCATAGAGAGTAATTATGAAAATTTATCCTTTAATTCCAGCTGTGAACATGCTCTGTTTTCCAAATCAAAGGGTGAACCATCAAAAATGTTTAGAAGCATCTTACCAAATTTTCTGCAACAAATGTTTCAGCAACACCTCTCCAGATTGATTTGGCAGAATTAAGTCTTTAAAAATAAATACTCCAAAGTATTGGGAATTTTTAATAACTGTAGTTAGCAACTTGCTTTCATACAGTACCACTGTAATTAAATATTCTTAAATGTCTCACCATTTTTCATAAGGAATCTTTCTTGTGCTAATGAAATCTGCAACTATGTTACAATAAAATGCTTCAACAGCTATACAAAATATCTGTACAAATTGGACACACAAATTCTGCTCTATATTTAAAATTCGATTGAATTTTCAATTAGCAACTTAATATTAAAATTGGTCAACAACCACTACCTTGAAATTCACTTCAGGAATTTAATTCAAAGGATGTACAAACAACCAGACTCTGTCTGGTTCATTGGGCTGTTTTTCAAAACTTCTGGCTTTAGTTCCATTTTTTTTTTTTTTAAGGCAACACCTGCATCAACACTGACCAGCGTTCTCCTGAATGTTGTGAAAAGCAGCTCTTCTTCACAGAACAGTCAGATTTAGTATTCTCTCACATGTTTCTTTCATTACACCTGAACCTTAACCAGTCCCTGCATTCCTGGGTTTTGGTAACTGCTCTTGGGAATTCTGCTTGGCCTGAAATAAAAAGTAAAAACACCACAATAAGATACATATAAAATAGAAGATAAAATGATAAGACACAAATTCATTTTTCACCCATTCTGGGTGACCACATTATTACCAAAACGGGCCATAAAAAATGCAGGGTTCTCCCTTGTTTTCAACACAGCAGGTAAGGGACCTTTTCAAACCAGTAAAGCACATTTGCAGCTTCAGGTGGCTGGTCATGCTCAACTATGTTATTTCCTAAAGCATACAGTACATCGTGCCTATCAAAAGTTCTCCATCGAAAAATTCATAATGTGAATGATACACCTTTAGGTTCAGAGGTTGAACAAAACAAAGTAAAATTTTGCTATGCCCTTTCTAAACTGCTTATAACGTAAACTGGTCTCCCTTCGATTTTGGGTGATACCTTTGGTGTCACTTACATGGCATATCGCTGGAAAATCAGTGGTGTCAGCAACGAATTGCATCACTATGAAATCGAATCACATTGAATAGCTGTATTTGTGCTCTAATTGTCTCACATTCAGAACTTTCATGCTGTCTAGAGATTTTACTTTCAAGGCTTCTTTCAAACTGTTGTCTGACACACATTTCAAGTAGAATTTCAAGATGAAGACTAGCTTTGTCCCCATGTGTTCGTTATACAGCTGGTAATTGTAGAGCTGTCAGGATGGTTATTTCAATTGGCTGTTTTTCCATTGCTAGTATGTAACCTTTATTTTGTTTACCACTAAAATTCTTGTAAAGCTTACCAGCCACTCTTTGTGACCTCTTGTTACTGGAAAGAAATGACAGCATTGTTTGCTACCGTTTCATCATGAAAACTGAACAACTAAACAACACCACATTTGCACATGCAGAGAACTGACAAATGTCATGAGATTTAGCAGAAAGCCCGTGAAAAATCACTCTTGCTTCGAAATTTGAAAGGTACCAGTCAGTGTTAGCTTACTAAGGCACCTGTAGATCTATAATAGTGCACACTGTGGCTTGTTATAACACTTTCTTACCAGATTAGCTCACCACAAATGTGTATTTTTTAAGGGTTCTGAGCGTTTGCAGGCGGTAATAAGTGCTCTTACAAGCGGTAAATTTTACTGGTTACTGCCTGATAAGGAGAACCCTGAAAATGTATTTTCATTATTTCAATTAGTAAACTTGAAGCTATCAGTGTGATGACTCATTACCTTGGAGACTCTGAGGGGCTGTTAGACCCAGTTGATCCTCTTGGATTTCGAGGTTGATCTTTAACAAAGTTTCGACATGAAGCCAGTTTAGATTCAAGGGCCTAAGTTGCAGGAGAGAGAGCAGAGTAACATGAGTTAAGTATGAATGAAATGAAAGAAAAAATGTACCAACAAGTAATGCTACATCAAATTGCATCAAAACTGCTATGCGCTCCTTCTCAGAGAAAAAAAATATGTGTAAATCACTTACCCCTACTTTTCTCAACAGATCGCCGACAATGTTTAGTGCAGATATTCGTGCAGATGGAGTCAGCGGAGAAGTGCCATACCCTGTGTGGAGTGGTGATGTTCCTATGGAAGCAGTTGTAGCATGGAAATCTGATGTCTGGCTTGTAGTTTCTGGTTTCAATGGAGATCCCTCTATTTTCAATGGCTCTTTATTTTCTTTGTTACTCTCTTTATCTTTACTAAATTCTAATCCATCACCAGGTTTTTTTCTCTCTTTTTCTTTCACCGCAAGTTCTTGTCGAAGATCTGTGCAAAAAATCACAACCAGAATTACTTCACAGAACACCAGACATTTTTGTTACTATCATGACATTTTGTGCTGCTTGCAAAACAATGAAACCTTTCTTTTTTTATTTGAGATAAGTTTTCAAAATAACATTTTGCAATTTAAAGAAATTGAAACTCTAAAGGCTTTTTCTCCAGTAGTAAGCTCATTGCCAAAAAGCCTCATAAGTTAGATCAGGGGTTCTCTTGAACATGTCTACAAGGTCAAGAATCATGCCCAAGGCATTTAATCTAGACATTGTGGAATGCTATTTTTCATTTGGAATGGAATGCTTCCTTCTATGAGAAATTTTGTCGACCATATCTTAATAGCCCTCATAGAATATTACAGAGTTTGTTGAGGTACCATGTCAATTTCCATGAAACTACACAGAAACTAGCATTTTAAACACTTTTTATGCAAGTGTTGTGTAACCAAATTCATTAAGGCATGCGCTTCAATTCCTGAGTACTATTTATCACCTTCACCTTTCATCAACACATGGCTTTACAACCAGTAATATTCTAGCTCAAAACCTCCAACTGGGAAAAAACCTTCTGGTATTTGAGCATCAAGTTTAATATAGATGGCGCGCTTTTACCCAACAGTATACTTGCCAAAATAAACAACACAATATCTAAGAGCAGCCAATATCAATTTTTGCGGTTCTTTAGAAACATAGTGATATCATTATCTCTGTATGTTAATGGATCTTAAAATAGTCAATTATAATATAGCATAAGGTAAATTAGTTCCTAAGCAGCAAGAATGGCTAACAGTTTATGCAAGAGGAACAGATAAATGAAACAATTAACAAACACTTCTAGAAATTTGGCATCAAATGCATGAAAAAATTTGTTCTCCTTGAAGTGAACAACATGGTGCCTAAATGTCCATCTGAACTTGGTAAAACAGTTTGACTACAATACTGCAACACAATGATTATCATTATATTGAATATCTTTTCTAACCTCTTGCTTCATCTTTCAGTCTTTGTACTGATTCTTGGAGGGTTTCCTTTTCATCTAACTCATTTTCAAGAATAGCATTTCTTTCTATGGCCTGCAAGACAAGGATACAAAAATCTACTGTTTCTATCACTTGTTAGGATAAATCAGTGACAGCTTTTTATAGGCTTTTCCACAATAAAAAGCAAATGAATTTTCCATTGCTCCACAGTTTGCCCAAGTTTAATATATAAAATGAGCATTTCGTGATACAAAACTCTCCCCTTAAGTTGAATATGTGCATCACCACTGATAATAAAGCTGTTATAAGATTACTACAATATATTCCACCCTGGTGCTAGTTACCTGGTTCAGCTTCTGCTCAAAGTCTTCCAGTGAGCACACTGTTGCCCTGAAATGATTTAAAATAATAAATAAACAAATAAACGATAAATAACATACTAAAGAATAGATAATGTTTGCAGTAAGCAACAAAAATGCTAGCTATTCAGCTGCGCAAATCCACAAGATAATCTTATTTAATGAAGTTTCTACTACAGGAAACTTTGGTGATAAGAGAATTCTCTGGCTCTTCCGCAGAATTTTCCAGCTTAATATTTATGGCATCAGCTAATCTTATTTAGCTAAGGAAATATTTTTGTGTCTTTTTTTGGTTTCATGATAAACCCTGTCAAGAAAATTACTAAGAATCTAGTCAAAGACAAGCACAATTACGAAAAGTTATTTGGCAATTTTTTAGTACAGAGACCTAGGAAAGTATCACTCAATAGATAGAGAAGAGAAATTTAGCAAAGTGAAATGTGTAACTTGAAAAAGAAAACAGTAATCAAATGCAGAATTTCATACAAGCACACATCATAGATAGAAATTTAACATTCTGAGAAATGTCCACGAAATTTGTTCACTAGCTAATGTCACAGCAGGTGCTTTTTAAAAAGGGCTAGCAATGTCTATCTATAATAATTTTGTTTGTATACCACATACATATATATACAAAAATGCAAGTAGTTATATGAACTGAAATAGCCTGAAATCTGGTTTGAAATTCATTCCTTTACTTCCAACAAAAGGAAAATATATTCTTAAGAAAACTAAGCAACAACTTGTGACCAAATCGAGATAAATTTCAGAAAAATTGTTAAAACTAACCACACTTGTTTGAAACATAAGTTTATTAACTAGAACATAAATATTGTGTTTCAAGTCACCACAGCTATCAACCATAACAAAAACTTTGAATGGTCCTCAAAACAAACCAAGTTTAAAAACCCTACAGGAACTTGTAACAACCATGTTTCAAAATAATTGAGAACCACACCAAAGAACATTTTAAAACATTGCAAAAGTCCTGCTAATTCAGAGCAATGTTCTTTATAGATGAATAAGCCATGGTCAAGGAGGGATTAAGTTAATTAAAAATGCAAAATTTACTCATCAGCATGGTGCCAATTTCTTCTAACCCTACAGGTGTTCAGTGTTCTATCTAAGGGCAACAAGCTTCATTCTACTAAATAACATAAATATTTATCTGTGATGACCAAAAGATGGACAGATTCAGAGTTACAGGTGTATGAGAATTTCATAATTGCAACTTCCTCTTTTCCTGTAGACATTGTTTTCATTTTATCATTTCACACCATTAATTAGGGAATAAAGCCCACATCATGCACTGGATACTTTTCTCCTAGATACACTGGGAATCATTCTTTTGACAAAACAAAAGAGAATTAATAGAACGTAAATATTGTTACACCCCGCTAGGTTTGACATTTTGTAAAAGTTTACCCAATTAAGGCTATATTTCCACTCATATATACTAGGTCCAACATTAACAAAGCCAAAACTTGGAGAAAGAAAGAAAAAGGGAAGAGATTGAAAAGGCTAAAAGGGTAATAAAAACCTAATAAACAGGACAAAATTCCTTTGTAATTCAATGACATATAATTAACATAATATTTTAATCCTCCAACTAATGCAAAGCAGCATTTAACAAGCGACCTTTCTGTTATAGAGCAACCATCTTCTTGTTTGAAACTGGCAAAAAGCTCCCTTCAAAGCGGTAATTCGAAAAATTGCCCGTCATATTTTTTAAATTAATCGATAAAATAAAATCGCAAGTGCCCTAACCTTAATGCATGGCCACAGAAACTGATACGGGGATTATTTCCCCCGACCCTTGTCCTGTGCTTCAATTTGTCGCATGCCACAAGTCGTACTTTAGCAAACACATTTTAAGCGATAATATTTGATAAGTTAAGTTTCGACATGTAAAAACATCTTCTCTTGATTTCATCTGTGGGCGACTACATACAAGCTTACTAAAAGCAACACAGTACAAAAATATTGTAACCGGGTAAAATTTGCGCAACATGGACAACATCAAATGCCATTCAAGGAGGCAAAAAAATATCAGGTCATCATGAAATATGGGAAAATGATCACAATTATGATTTGAATGTTGTCGTTAGCTATGCCTTACAGCTCCAAAACACAGCCAAACATTAGCTTCACATTTCTTTTCTACAGACCTTTTCGCTCTTTCCAGATCGTCATTCGCCTGTTCGAGTTCCCGAACGTATTTTTGAACTTCTTCTCGAACAGCTTTAAGCTGGGCTACTTCATCTTGTAGCGCTGATATCGTAAGATAGGATTCATTCTGGCTTGCATCTAGTCTCGCCTAAAATACGATCAAACCAAAAGTGAACGTCAAAACCAGAACAGTCGAACTATCGACAACTCGGAAGACAAGATGGCCAATGTACGCGAAGCAACTCTTGCATTATTTACAATGTTCCATTAATCAACAGACAAACTGGCGATACGCGACTTACGCCATTAAATAAAATATTCTTTCCTTTACCTTTAAGCTTTCGTTCTCCGTTTCTAGTCGTGTTTTTGCTGACAAAAGTTCTCGCTGTCTGGCTTCTGCTTGCTCTAACTGCGTTTCCAATTCTGCTTCTAATTCACGACTACCTTCTTGAAACTCGTCGAGTTCATCTCTCGCTTCTTGCAACCTTTCAACCAAAAGAAACGTTGAATTTGAATCTTCTATCATTTTCCTACTACATCGAATGAATGTCATCGAAAGACAAGGTCTTCAAAACACTCACTTTCGCTCTAAATCCTCGGCTACTTGCTTCCAGTAAGTCGCCTCTTCCTTCGGATCGGCGAATTCCAATTCCTTATCGGCCGTAGAAATACTCATTCCCAGCTGTCGCATATGGACGGTAAGATGTTTTCGCCTCGTTATAAATTAAGAATCTAACTCTCTATCAATCTATGGCAAAACGAAGGAGAAACCGGGCTCAATCAAGCCAAGATTAGCTTCACGTCTCGAAAGCTCAACGAAATCATTAACAAGCAAACCGTTCCCCTGATGACGTCAACTCGAGTGATCTGCTAAAAGGATTGTGGGATAGATGAGACGAAAATCTGATAAAATGCCACGCGTGGTTTCACGGTTTCTCATTATGGAATCATAGAACGTGTTTTATGGGTTACTGACTTTGCCAATCAAACACGACAAGTAACTGCTCCTGCTTGATCGAATACCAACCATTCCGTGGAGCATGGTGTGAAACAAATGCTCGGCCGGTCAAAGTAAAAACACGTGGTTAAATATTCTCGGTCGGTCAATTGGTCTACATGATTCATTTCGTATCGGGAATATCAAATAAAATGAAAAAATGTGTAGGCTCTCAAATGATTATTTTAGCTAATTAACGATGTTTACTAAAATCATGGCAACCAAATTGCCCCGAAGCTATTTTGATGAACGGAGTCTTCAAAACCAGAGGACATTTTCAATTACGTAACTACAAAATTTTCAAAGTTGAGCGCAGTTGAAAAAGAACGCCCTCTGAAACTAATTTAATTTACAAGCTATTTGTATTGCTATAGGAGTAATGAGCGTGGTATCAAAGCGCTGTGACTAGAACTGAAGCTTTAATTTATGGAACATTGAGAAACTCATCCACTCCATAATAGGAAAGGTGTACGAGAATTATCTGAAGGGTTACCGGCTTGTTCATCTTGAAAGAACTGACCCAGAACCGAGCATATCAACCGCGACCGGACATAATTATCCTTCCTTCACGCCCTGTAATTTAGAAAACCACCTCAAGACCTGAAATATGCAACAGCATGAGTAACTTATGGATGATCAGGCGTTATTTTTTTTCTCGACCGCGAAAGTGCATCGGCACAAAAGCCGGTTGCTTTATCGTGCTCCAAAGAAAAGAAGACCTGATCGCAAGTTACAACATACATTACTTGAGTGTCGTGAAATCTGTTTTGCCGCGAGCAAGTTGGCACGGGTTTTTATCAAAGCATGGTGTTTGCGTGACTGAGATGTGGATCAGTAAAAATTTATTGTCAAGATTTTTTTTCTTTATATGCATTTGTTTCGTGCAATTGCGTTTGTCGTGGTTACCACAAGATCGATACTGACCGGAACACTTAAGTCAAACTTTCAAGTCAAATATCACGAATACAAGAGGAAGTGTTCGTGGGCCAGTATGCGGAACTGTAATTTGTTGCTAATTGCTCTGTTGATTTAGGAATTGTTTTCTAAATTTGTCAAAAGAGTCAGGTAAATCTGATTTTCGGAAGAGTTAGATCGTTCGACTTCCTTGTCAGTTGAAATAATCCTTCCAGGAAATCGTTGCTCTACATCAAATGGCTTTTGGCGCATAACTGGAGTGTCTCTGGCTTTTTATTTAACTCTTTTTCAGTACTACTTCATAAGTTTAGCATTACGACTGCGTTGCTACCGAGGATTCTCGACTACAATATGCCGAGGCTAGTTCTTAGTCAAAACGATAGGAGCCTAATTCAGTTGTAAAGTTTTGCTATAATACCAAATGAAAGCATGATTCATGTCGGGAAATTCGTCTTGGAAGTAACTGATATCATAAATACTGGGTAATTTTAGCGTGCTTGATCGTAAGAGTTTCCGAAATTAGGACCGGGGTTGTTCCCAGATTAGATGCATATGCTTGAAAAATACCACATAAAATATCCCAATATCCAAATAAGACCGTTGGTCTTTTTATTTGCCTTTTGTTTGTTCGGTGTTTCACTTGTGAAAGTTTCGAAAACATGATTCCTTGAAATATCTCGAAACATCCACAAGAGCTGGGTTTCGTGACGCGTTTTATTTATTAGGCAACTTAATCGTATGATCAATCGCCGAATGGAAGACATATTTCAAGTATTATTCAGATTGCCTTGTTATAACCAGTGAAAGGAATCCGAAAACCGTGAGTATACTCTTCCGAACGGAAGACTATTTTTGGTTTTTTACGTGAGATAACTTCTTGAAATCCCACTGAAAACACGAAACAAAATATTCCGGAAGTTAATCTGCATGTTGTGTCTTCAGACGACAGCCCTCAAATCGGCTTGGACCCACGAATTGCAAAATTATAGTCATGCAAAATCAGTGAATTTAGGTTTGAAATTGCATTCGACATGTTCAAAAATAGGTAACCAACTTGGTCTGAGCCAACTCTTTAAACCTACGAAAAATTAACTTCTTCCAATAATGCTTCCACATCAATCTGCTCTTCTGTTACTCTCTAACCGGTGTCAAGTAAGAGCGAAAAATATTTTACCGGTAAGATCCTATGGGTGAAAAATATTCTCTGCCTTTTTGCGCGTTAAATTCAGCTGCAGTTAGCTGTGTCCAACAATCGTATGTCAATAATGTTCAAGAAGACGGTCTGTTTCAGCACAACGGGAAGAAAATCTCAAACTTATGAAGAAGTGTATATGCTAAGCTTTAACCGGTCATATAAGCACGTATCAGAGTTAGATTCTGGCAAATAACCAATTTCGAATTGAATGCGGAAGTTTTCTAATCAAAAGGATAATTTCAGGGAAGCAATACTCCTTCGTTGGCCAAGAGACGTTTGATTGAAGTAAATACTTAGTAAATTTTTTCGGAGAGGATGGCGCTTACTTGAAGAGAGCGCTTTTTATTTCAGCTGTACGTAATATAGTACCGCCCACCAGTTGGTGAAGTATAGTAAAATTAGACCGTACCTTTTACTGATGTTTGGCCTTCGTTAGGAAAACGAAAGTACTGGTGCGGAGTAGGGTCAGCTCTACTGAGGGACTGGGCATTATTTATCGCCTTGCCGGAGAAGTGGGGGGGGGGAGGGCAGGTCGAGGTTTTAGGGGTGATTACATGGTTTTCAGGGGTAACGGAAGGGGGATCAATACTCGCCAAAAGAGAATGAAGGGGGCCCTTCAGGAAACTGAGTGGAGGGATCATAAGAATGTTACAGAGCCTCATAGGGGGGGTTCGGGTAAATTTTATTGTTACACATCCAAAGTCCTCGAACCCCCCACCCCCACCCCAGTAGGTGATAAATGATAAGTGGTGCCTATGAGTCAGAGCTGTCAAATAAAGACTTTATTCTTGAAGTTTCTGGTCTTCAACCCTAAGAATAAATCAATCGGCTCCTATGATCACCACCGGAGCCACAAAAAAAGAAGCCGTTGAAGGAGTTCCGAATAAATCATTCTCGGACTATTTCCTTCACTGAGAAAAAAGAAGAATCAAATCAATAAGATCTCTGAGCTGAGTATTTTTTAGGCAAATTTGCTTCAAGCTAATTGTCAATAGCTGCCAATTGTCCACAAAAAATATTGCCCGAAATGTGCTTAAATCTGTGGGAAATGAGAAATAATGTACAATATACTCGAAATTGATACTGCACTAACATGAACGTGCAAATCAATGCTGACTGAAATCGCTTTTTATTTGAATCGCTGCCCCAAAAAATGAAAAAAGTTGCCAACATTCGGTTCACCTTCCTGCCCGGAAAAGACGGATGAAGAAAACGGGGGGGGGGGGCAGGGGGAGAATTCGATGTGTTCTTCACATATAGACATGAGTAGGTAATGGCTCTGTTTGTGGGTTATTATGATTGGCTACTGAAAGTCACATAGGATACCTTAGCTTGCTTCCGAACCAGCTTGGGAATTTGTACTCTCGTAACGGCTGTTATGCTCATTAACTCCTCCTCTTATAAAAGAATGTGTGTTTTGGCAACCTAAAGGAAGATAATGTTTAAGGTACGTTTAATTAAGACCGTTAGCTGGTGAAATTAACAGGAGTAAGTTCAATTGAGTGACGGGCGGTTTCAAAAAGATGAAACGTTAATTAGTAAAAGGAAATCGGTTCTGAACTAAAATTGTTTCTGCCCTATATTCAGAGGCAATCATCATTTGGTATTTGCAAAAAAAAAAAAAGAAAAATGCTTCTTTGAAAGCTGATGCAATTTATAAAAACGCCTTAAATTTAAGGTTTTAAATTGCCATCAGTAATGTGGAACAAAGAAAAATTCTGATTCTCCCGCAAGGAATCGAACCCTTCTTCGGATAGATTTACATAGATATAAATGCGTTTTGAGATACATTTGCAAATGAGGTTCAATGCCTTAACCACCGCGCGTTTGGTTTTCTCGAAACCAAAAATAAGTTTTTTGGAGGTATGGATTCTAGAGAAATTACCACGTGGCCGGGTAACTTTGCTTTTATAGTGACAGACAGAGTACTTAGATATATCTAGTAAAATACAAAGTCGAATTAAAATGAGAAAAATCCGTTTTAAAATACGTTTGTTATTGGTATGATAATCTAACACGGTCTTTCAACAATTTTACCTCCTTACAATACAATCGAAAAATGCGGTAAAACATCTTCGATTCCTTTCACGCAAGACAATAGCCGCTTTCTTTACTTAAAAAAATTAACCATTTTAATTAGTATGGTAACCCGATATTGCTTTCAATATATTTCTTTAATATCGAGAACAGAAAACGGCAAATAAAAGAGAATATTGCTAATAGGTCGGTAAGGCAATGTAATCTTGTAAGAACCTCCAACTTTATTTGGAAAATCCCGTCTCATTAACATTTATATACAATTTTAGCCACTTTAGTAGAAATCATTGTTTGTATACCCTCTCCTAGACAAAGAAAAGGGTTTTCACCCACTGATCGTACCAATCTACAGTTAAAAAGTATGCCTAATAAAGGTGTTTTAACTTTAAACGTCTCCGGATTTTTGAACGGCAATATGGAAACATTACACGCGCGCCATTTGTGGGAGCTTAGTCGACCTGATCTTACGAGCCTTAAAATATCAACTTTTGGGGAACGTACGTCGACTAAGGGCGTTTATAGGCGATTTAAGAACCTTCCAAGTACCTTATTTCCATGATTTTGTCCTTTTTCTATCCCGAAATCTTTCAAAAAGGCTCCCTCTTTCAGGCTCTGAGCATTGTTTTATTCATGTATTCGAGTAGTCATGAAGGACTATCAGAATCTACTTCAACCGACTATCTTTTTGGGAAAGATGGAAGCGCTACAAAAACTGAAAACATAAATAACTAAAATTCCGTTCAAATAAAGTACTAAAGAACAAAAGATTTAGCTGAATGGTTCTTGGACAAAAAATTGACACAGTCTTAGCTGCTTGTCAAACCCACTTGCAACCGACAGCTGAGACCATTCAAAACCGTCAGGTTAGTGACAGTTTCTATGGTTCTTAGTACGTAGCCGAATTAAAAAATGACATCACCGTGCAATTAAACCCACGCCCACCGTAGAACAGATGATCTCGCACTACACTGATAATATTTTTTTAAAGATCTGATTCACTGGTTGCGTAGCACGCTAGCTGACAGAATATTTAAAGGGAGACCCTCTGACCTGGTAACTTTTTAGTTCATTCTCAGAAGCCGAATAAATTTCTTGGAAACTGAAAAAGGAAACATATATCGAGACTGCCGCTAAACACCCGCTCGAACGAGGGTCGAAGTTTATATAATAGAGGCGTCTTTCCGAGGTAAGACTATAATATTCAAAAGAACTTTTGTTTTAAAAGTCAGCGTAAATGTAAGGAACACCAACGTTAAAGACCGGTTTGAAGAATATTAGTTTTCTTTCATAGCGTGTGAACATCATTAAAATCGTTATGCTTAAATAAAGGATATGAACTCTTACAGCGGAAATCAGTAATTTTGTTCAAAGCAACTTAAAATCCAAACTGAGTTGCTACTTTCGCGCTTCATTTTCAACTACATTTAAAACTTGTGGAGCAGTTTGCCACGGTTACTACTTATGGTCTCGGTTTCAAAACCACTGGAACTAGAGCTTTGAAAGCGCTCACGAGATGAATGAGGAAGTTGTGTAACTGAAAACACTTAGGAAGACTCGGTCCGGCGAAAGGGGAGTTAAACCTGTAGCACGTTGAATCACATATGCATCTTCTCATACGATTTTCATTGGCGACAAGTTGAGGAACCGATGCCGATGCCGATGCCGATGCCCCTGCATACATACATCTGAAACATCTTGGACTGAAGAGCCATATGGAACGTCGAAAACCATCTGAATCTTTTGTCGAGATTAACATGATATGTTTATCTTGGACGGAAAAAACAACAAACCTCGCCGTATTTTCTATGTGTCGAGTAGCAAAATGTCTAGGTTAAAACAGAATTATTTATTTTGTGTGAATTATCGGAAAAATTCTCAGGTAGACCTTTTTCGAAAGTATTAAATACATACTAACTGCTGCGGTTGATGTAAAATGCAGCTGCGCTCACCAGCCTGTCGTTTCATCTCCGGCAATACTGTTTACTTTTAATCAGCAAAGGCCCTCCGCGTTCGATTCATATTTCATATTCATATTTCAGTTCAAATTTTGATATAAATAACTAGATATATTTTAACATTAGTAACCCAATCCTTAATTTAACAGCGATATTTCCAAAATTACTGACGTATGAAACTTAATTACTACAATCCTAAAGACGAAACATTCAAAAAGTTTTTAAGGTTCTCTTCAGAATGAGCCATGATGTCTAGGCACACATAAAAGAATATTTTATAAATTTCAAACAACTTGATGAGGACTCAAAACGTAGTGAGAAATTCAGTTGGAAGCTAATATATTTTTAGGGGGAGTTCCTTGAAAACACAAGTGACTGTGATCTATAAAACAGTTCTACCGTGTAATAGACAACTGTAGATACAATGACCTTTCAGCAAATTTATTCGGAGGGAAACACTCTTTGTTGGCAGCACGAGATAACTTGAACCATAAATTAAAAAGCAGTTAGCCTTTCTCGAAATATCGTGGCGACAGACAAGTTTTCGTGAATACAGAAGCGGGAAATGCTTGTGCGTCAAATGTTTTTTGTTTTGGTAACATTAACTCGGCAACGGATAATAACAGAATTACAAACTTTACCACCAAGATTCATTATGGAGGCACCTTAAAAAAACGCATTTAAGAATGACATAAATGTCCGTCTCCGCCGACAAAAGCCATCAATCAATTTTTGCGCACACCATTTTTCGCGGAAAATCCTTAGCAGCTGCCCTTAATAACATAAGCGAACATTTAAATAATATTCGATATGTCGCTGAAAGAAAGTTGTCCGAAGAAAAGGGATAACTTGATATCATAGATTCGGTTAAATGTTTCACGGACACAATAATTGTTAATGTAAATCGGCTACCATGGAAAATTTACGAAGCCGACGTTTCAAGCGTTAGATCTTGGTCAGAGCGACATAAATCGGAAGTTTAGTTAAGCATCGAAATCGCATCGATAAGTAAGAAAGAGGAACACCTACTGTTGCACTTGGACTGTTCTTTGGGTGGAAAAAAGCCCACAAAATAGATTGAGTTGTAACAGGGGGGCGAACTTGTCAAATATATCTAAATCGAGTCGATCATGTCTGGTTCTCATGAATTTGCACGCATTCAAACTACGCATGAAATTAAATGTTGTTGAGTCTAAGAGCAGTAATGGGAAATGGAAAAAAATAGGAATGACGAGTAGAGTATGATGGGAAATTGCGAATGGGACAATGAGACGTAGGAAATGAGAAATGGAAAGTAGGAAATGAGAGACGGAAAAGGAAAATATAGAAGACGCCAAAATTGATAACTAGGAAAACTAAGAATTGTATGGTGAACAATAAGGAGAATTAATAATGAGATTTGGGAGTGAAAGGGTGAATGTCAATGTTTTAAATACCGATCAGGGTGCCTCGATGATGACATGATTAAAAAACGGGATGGTTTCTGTGTATTGTATTGTTACCTGCGCGGGGTTAACTACAAATTTTTCTTTCTCTCTCATTATCAATGCACAGGTAACCATCCAAATGGGTTTGATCTTACAACTTCTTCAAATTGTTTTGATAAGTACTCAGCTCTTAAAAGAAGCAACAACAACAACAACAACAAACGCAACAGCAACAGCAGTCACGGCTTCAGCGATAACATCACGAACAGAAATATTAAATACAGGAATAGCTACAAATGTAGCACAAACAAGCTCTCCCTCCGTGAACGACACCATTCTAACTCGACAAATGTCACTATCTTCAAGTGCATTACACAAACCATCGTTTTCCCAGTCGAGAGAAACAACACAATCGGCATCTACGACATTAAATACAACAACAACAACCCGAGGATTTTCCAAACCGTCACAGTTTATCAAATCTCCAGCGACCAACGTCGTCGATGTTAAGCAAACTCAAAGCAATGAACACCACGTCAAGTGTAGATGCAGGAACAACCGCCGTCTCACATGTACTGTCCCAACCAAAGAGTGTTTCGCAGTCGACACCCTCTGCAGATCTCAATTCAACACAAAGTAAAGCTTCAAGCTACATAACTGGTGTTCCAAACCGAACGCAGTTTATCAATTCAAGTTACGGAACGTCGTCGATGATCTTCACAAACTCAGGCTCTGCTACCCTTCTGGTCACTCCTACAACTACGGAACAAACAAGCTCTCCCTCCGTGAACGACATCACCCCAACTCAACAAGTTTCATCATCTTCAAGTGCATTACACAAACCATCGTCTTCCCAGCCGAGAAAAACAACACAATCGGCATCTACGACATTAAATGAAACAACAACAATCCAAGGATTTTCTACCTCGTCGAGGTGGCAAATCTCCAGCGACTACCAAACCAGCCCGTTAAGCACGCCGAAAGCAATGAACACCACGTCAAGTGTAGATGCAGGAACAACCGCCGTCTCACATGTACTGTCCCAACCAAAGAGTGTTTCGCAGTCGACACCCTCGGCAGATCTCAATTCAACACAAAGTAAAGCTTCAAGCTACATAACTGGTGTTCCAAACCAAACTCTGTCTATCAATTCAAGTTACGGAACGTCGCTGATGATCCTCACAAACTCAGGCTCTGCTACCACTCAAGCTGTGTATTTTACAAGCGATCATCCGACTAAAGAGAGCTCTTCCCTTCTGGTTGCTCATACAACTACAGATTCTTTCACAAAGCTGACTTCGGCAATCTCAGGTATTAACTTCAGTAGACAGGAGACCGTTCTGACGTTAATAAAACCCTGCCAAATGCTCATAATCAAGCATCGTCTCGTGTGTCTGACTCTTACAACTGATGGCGCCCCTTTTGCCCTCTACGTTGAGGACGGATACTGTGGGGGAGGGGGTATGCATTATATGCATAATAACCGATAAAAAACAGAAAATAACATACTAACCCCTTGTCAAGGGCATCATTTGCACGCCATCGCGATTCCCTGCAGCTAAAAGTATCATTTCGGCCTTTTCCGTAGCAGGGTTTTATTCAAGACCCATGTGAGCTTTAACGCGCGTAAATTTATAACATAGCCACAAACTATCACACAAGGGTGTAGACTGGATTTTTCTGTGAGGGTGCGCCGCACTTACGTCCTATTGGCAAGTGGCAAGTGACAAGTTAAGACTCGTCAGGATGGTTTCTCGCAAGTCACATGCCCCCTCGTGCCCCCACACCTCACCTCCTCTCCACCCCCCTTGGTTAAGCCCATAAGCAACGAAAAAGAAGCCAAACTGTAGGCTGTTCGCCACTTTGAGGTAGAAAACAGGTCAAACGTGTTTTGTCTTGTAAAGTTTCAGTGTCGCTTAACTGGACAGGCTGGTCCGTGGACTCAAGAGACTGTCAGCGGCATTGTTCAAACATGGGAGGAACTGTGACTGCGAGTCGTCATTGCTATTCTCATACAGTGACGTTCTCAAAAAGCATCTGTACTCAATACAATATCTCAACTAAAGTGTTTAAATGTCAACAACATTGTCCAATCTCAGGTTTGTTTGTAGCTTTGAGCTTCTTTTTTCCAGGATCTAGACTCAGCGCAGTCAAACCATACCTTGAGCCGTCATGTCACCATGAGGAACTCACCACACAGACTTTTCGCAGACAATCGTGCACGAGAGAGCGCTTGGAGATTGGCTCAGGCTTGTTTTCTATGGGATGATAATTTCTTACTTCTCGTGCTCGACTCTGCTGCCTTATGCAATAACACAGCAGATTTATGTTTTCCCAGATTTGCTTTTTTGCGATTCTCCCCCAATTCCCTTCTCAATTAAGTTTCTGCTTTCCCTTTCCTCTCTCATGTTTTCCGTATGCTCCCCTTTACTATCAACCAGGGCTCCCGCTCTCCTGTCCTCTCTGCTCCTTATCTACAAATGCTACCAGTTGTTCTAAATGGAGAAGGCCGCTCAAAAATAACACAGACGATTACATCTTCCTTTTTAGCCTGGGATTAACTATAATTAGAAAGAAGTACATGGCTATGGCGTTTAGAATCGTCCAAAAATGGAAATAGCGCGGGACTCATTCGAAAGGGAAAGAAAAAATTCAGAAAAAGAAATCATCAAGCTTAATTGCCATGTATTTTATTTTTGGTGGATTTCATGAAATTAAATCTTTATGTTTATTTTCACAGGAACAACATTGTTAGGAGTGTCCATCTCAACAGTGGTAGTCGGGACTTTGCTTCATATGTAAGTTTTAACGTGACACTGTGATGATCTACGGTTTTGTAGCTTTAGGAGGCTTGACTTCGATCATGACGAGAGTTGCCCTCTCTAACTTTACCATCTTCTTTCAACAGGTTGCCGAACTTTTTCGGGGGTTAAGACTCCAACGAACTTTATAACGTCAACGTTTGTGTCTTGCTCTCTTAGCATGAGGGTTTACTTTAAATAGCGTGCAAGCGTTATAATCGCAGAGGCGTAGACAAAATGTAGTTTACATTTCTTAGACTATTTTAAGACCTCTAACGTTTATATTTATAGTATAGTATCATGAGAATAGTCAAGAGATTATAAATGTCTTGATGGTATAAATGTTTTTAGACGCTTTATAACGTAAAAAAAAACAAAACAAAAAAAAACGATGTAGTGCCAGATGGTACTTAGCAAGAATAAAATAAGTTTTTACATTGAGTCAACAGTTGCCGGGTTATTGTAACGAGGAACAAGAGAAGAAGAAAGCATCAGATCTGTTAACCATCCCAATTCATGAACGAAAGAAAACAATCATATTCACTTCAACAGAAAAAATAAGCCTTAGCTATGATATACGAAGGAACTTCTGAACAAACGTGCGTTAAATACTACGTTGATTTCTCAAGGCCTTAGCAAACGTTCGTGCCTCATTTTACCATAAGGATGAATAGTAGAACATTAAATAAGGCGTATCGTTTCATCGATGTGGGGATACATTTTAAATGGCACATTGTAAACTCGGCTGTAAAGAAAAAAAAAAAAAACATTTGACCCGCCTCGATTAGCATTTGCCATATGCGGGTCAAAGGAATATCTTGTAAATATGTAAGAAAATGAAAAATAAAGGTGTGAAAAGTGTGAAAGTGTGGCACTGTCAGCACTTGATGTTTCCAAGGCAGTTTTGGTTTCTGCAATTCAAACAGTGTTGCGTTGTTTGAGAGTCAAACTATTACACGTATTTTGCAAAGAACGCCATCTTTTATTCTTTCCCAGAATCCTTTGTACGTAAATAATTCATGTAAGCTAACATAACATCTCCCCCTTTTTGATAAAGAGCACAAAGTCTGAAGCAAGTCGACAAAGTCTGATTAGGCATGGACACAGCCTAAATCAGCTCTCTTAGCTCAGTGTCTTATGATGCTAAACCTTGATTTTCTCTGACTTTGAGAGATGGTCTTATAACTCGCTTAAGCCTAGCAGCAAGAATAGGTGTTACAGGAGGTACTTGAAAGTCTCTCTTAGAAACAGGAACGTCCTTCCGAATAGGTGTTGCAGCCTTGCTCTCTGCTGGAACTTGTTTTTCCTCTGGGTTTGGTTGTGATTTTCCTGCTGATCTGGCAGTGGGGTTAGGTGAAAACGGTTTCTTTTGATCGTGCTGGTTGATGTCTCAATTTCATATGACCGGGGTCTTGCTGCTGCTTCGATGACTTTTCCTGAACGTTGAAGGTCCTTTACAAAGACTAGCTTCCGTACCTGGTTCAATAGGACTAGCTTATGCCTGCTGTTGAACACTGTTTGTTGCTTCAGCTCGCTCATGCTCGCTCTTTCACGTAGGTTTTCCAGATCAGGTCACTGCGGGTTAAGCTGGGTATGGAACACCGGAACACCGTTCCTTATCTGCCTTCCCATCAGCAACTGGGCAGGAGAGAACTTGCATGCTAGTGGCGTTAATCTGTAGGCCAGTAATCCTTTAGCTGGGTCTCTTTCTTTCGAGAGCAGATTTTTCACGTTTCTAACTCCACGTTCAACCTCTCCGTTTGACTGTAGAAATCTCGGACTACTGGTTGTATGCTTGAATCCCCACTCTTTTGCAAAGTATGAGAATTCTACATTGTCAAATTGAGGACCATTGTCGGATCGCACTTGTTCGAGGATGCCATGTCTGGCAAGTATCGACTTAAGTGCTCTTGTGACCTCGCTTGACTTTATCGTCTTCTTCATGGCTGCTACTTCTATGTACCTTGAGAAGTAGTCTATTACAATCAGGTAGTCGATGCCTTTCAGCTCGAAGAGGTCTGTGGCTACGACTTGCCAGTAGCGGTCTGGTAAGGGTGTTACTATAAGCGGTTCGGGTTTGTTTTCATTACCTTACATTGTTGATCCAGATCCTGGATTTCTCTACTAAGTCTGAGACAGGCCGCGATGTGAACACGCTTTATATGTGTGTGTACATTTCATCATCAATTGTTGACTGAGCTGTTTGGTTTCTGGCTTAGAGTCTTGAAAGTGTATTAACTATGTACATCTTCTTTCCAGGAACGTGCTTGATCTCTTTAAAGTGGAATCTCATCGGTCGCATTCTGAATCGCTGGATCCTCGGTGGGAGTTGATCCACTGTGTGCCCACTCAGTAGTGCTACGAAGGGTTTATGGTCCGCTTCCGCAAAGATCGACTCTCCCACGATGTACTTCCACGATCGTTCACATACCCATGTAAGCGCTGAGGCCTCCTTTTCTATCTGCGCCTATCTGGTCTCGGTGGGAGTCATCGCTCACGACGTGAAGGAAACTGGTCGCCAGGAGTTGTCTGGTTAGAGCTCAAGAAATACTCTGCCTAAGCCATAGGATTCGGCATCAACTGCTATCTTGGTCATATAGCGCCAGTACTGAAACTCATGTGAGGTCAGCTTTGATCTGCTCGAATGCCTTTTGTTGCTCAGTTCCCCATGTCCACTGATTCCCTTTGCAAAGGAGATCCCTGATGCTCTTTGTCTTGTCAGCAAGATGCTCAGAAAACTTGCTCAATTGGTTTACCATGCCCAGAAATGTTCTCTATGATTCTTGCACGTTCTGTGGTGGCGGAAGATCTGCAATTGCTTGCAGCTTGTGAAGATCCGCCTCAATTCCACGGGAGCTGATGACGTGCCCGAGGAACTTAACTCTGCCTGTTCAGCACAGACAAAGTTAAGTTTCTCGGACACGTTATCAGCTCCCTTGGAATTGTTTAAAAAAATTATTAAAAAGTTATTGAAAAAAAAATTAATCACCGCTCGAAAAAAATTAATCAACGCACCAGTCTCTGGTCGTCCGCCTGAACTGACTAAATGAAGTTTAGTCAGCGGAGTTTGTCAGCAGATGACATTGTCATCGCTGGTATATCGCTGAACGACCTCGCTGAACAAGAAAGGCCTCCTTCCCTTCGTTATGTAAGTAACCATTTCTTGTTTGACACATCAGTGCGACTTGCAGTCAGCTTACATGAATAGATTCTGCGACATTGACCACTGTAAGGATAACGGTCTTGTTCGCCATCATAAGGGACTCTTGCGTTCTTCTTTGATTCAGGCAGCTAGTTCTTCTCAGCCATCTTCTCTAAGGCTATAATTCCTCACTTCAATTTTCTTTTGAGGCAGCCTATCTCTCCCAGCAGCCTTTTTGGACTGCTGCTTTGAAGGTCTACGCTGAACTTCTGTTCACCTTCCTATTAGGGCGAACTAATCACGCTCGGGAGAGTCCCGCGCTGGAATATGATCAGGGTCCTGATCCCTTGTGGCTTTAAGACGCTGAGGAGAGCTGGGGCGAACTCTCCCGGGAGTTGGACTACGGAAACTTTCTTCTTCGTCCAAAATCTTCCAAATTTCTTGCAACGACGCTTGGCCCCTTCCAAAGATGACGTAAACAGTGGTTGATCGTAAACTGGCGAAGACACCCACTGATTGGTTGGTGGAAGAGTCACACGACTATCTACCGGAGCGCTGTCTTTTTTATTCGTATCACGAGATACTACATGTTGTGATTCCAATAGCATTAGTACTTTTCCATCTGCACAAAACATAAGTGACTGCATAAGACAAGCACATATCTTGACTTCAACTTTTTTACGAGAGAGTGCAAGCACATAACGAAGCTTGGAGAAGAGAGGATAAGGTAAATTTTATGTTGGGTCATTCAATAGTTCTTTTGCGTTCAGTGTGGTACAAAAAAAGTCTGTATCGTCTATAAGGATTCGACTCCCTGACACGAGGCTTCCCTACATCGGATGCTCTACCTCTAAGCTATTAGGAATATGGTTGATACCAGGCCTCATTTCAGCTTGATAACCTTTTAGCATGGTACTTAAATGAACCCCTTCAATAATTCGTTTTTACATATTATTTACTATAAAGAATAAAGTGCATAGAGAAAGAAAGAGAATATCCTTTCACAATCACACAACATCGATAAAAAAAAAAAAAAATTTACACCCACCATCATTAGAATTAATTGAACTTGAGGCATCTAACCAATTACTTTTTAGGTCAATTACCGTAAGCTGAATAAATTTTCTTGTAAACTGAGAAAGGGAAAAATATATAGAGACTGTCGCTAAACACACGCGCGAAAGAGGATCGAAGTTTATATAAAAGAGGCGTCTTTCTGAGGTAAGACTACTATATTCAAAATAACTTTTTTTGTAAAAGTCAGTGTGAATGTAAGGAATACCAACGTTGAAGACTGGTTTAAAGAATATTAGTTTGCTTTAATAACATATTAATATCATTTAAATCATTACGCATAAGTAGAAGATCCGAATTTTTGCAGTAACAGTAATTTTCTCCAAAGCAACTTAAAATCCAAGCTGAGTTGCTACTTTGGCGCTTCGTTTTCAATTATATTAAAAACTTGAGGGGCAATTTTTTTCACGATTTCAAAACCACCAGTACTAAACCTTCGAAAGCGCTCACGAGATGAATAAGGAAGTCGTGTAATTGAAAACACGCAAAAAGACTCGGTCCGGCGAAAGAGGAGTTAAACCTGTAGCACGCGGTATTCGTAGGCGACCAGTTGCCGACCCGATGCTTCCATGGCCAAATACATACATCTGAAACATCTTAGTCCAAAGAGCCATATGGAACATGGAATACCGTCTGAGTTTTTACCCGCGTTGATCTTGACAGACAATCTACAAATATTCTTAGACCGTAAAGTACCAACAATCCTCGCCGTATTTTCTTAGGTGTTGAGCAGAAAAATGCTGTGTCAAGGTTAAAATAGAATTATTTATTTTGTGTGAATTATCGGAAAAAGTCTCAGATAGACCTTTTATGTAAAATTCGAAGCCAAAACGAAAGTATTAAATACATACTTAATGCTGAGGTAGATGTATAAAATGTAGCTACGCTGATGCGCTCTGTGCAACGTTGTTTACTTTTCAACCAGCAAAAATGCCTCCCGCTTCCGATTCACAAATCATACTCATATTTCAGTCCATATTTTGACATCAATCACTATATATAATACGTTTTGAGGATTTCCTTTAAAATTTATGCGCTAAAGCCGCTTTCGTTTCAAATAATTTTAAGTCACGAAACCAGTTAATTATTGGTGGCAAAAATATTGGCCACTTTCCATTTTTTTAATGGTGATAATTTTTTTAAAAGTTGAATATAATTAATTTTCAATTGCCAGTGTGTTTTGTTTGGGGCTTCTCAAAGCAACGAAACCATAGCAGAGTGAATTTTGAGCAGAGCAATTTCGTTTGTTAAACGGATTTCCATAAAGCTCTGCTTCATGCGCAGAGAGTGATTGTAAGTTTGAGTCATAATTAACAGTTTTTTTCCATAGCGAATCATCTCAAAATGTCAATTTTATTTAAGCATTCATTTGAAATTTAAGGTGATTAGATAACTAACACCTTATGAAGTTAAACTACTGCGTCACTAGCCGTTAATCATAGCTTCCGCAATGCTCCGAGCTATGCAAGTTAACATCAATAACCCAATCCTAAATTGAACAAAGCGATATTTCCAAAATTACCGACGTGTGAAGCTTCATTACTACAATTTCAAAGGCGAAACGTTAAAAAAAAACTTTATAGGTTCTCTTCAGAATGAGCGATGAAGTCTAAGCCTATATTTTAAAAAGTTCAAGATGACTTGATGGGAACTCTAAAAACGTAGTGAGAAATTCAGTTGGAAGGTGATATATTTTTATCACTTCACTTGCGAGAGGCAAACATACTTTCGTTATAACTAACAGAGAGACGGAAGCGGAGGCACGGAGGTTCTTGAAAACGCAGGTGACTGTGATCTATTTAACAGTTCTACAGCGTAACTAGACAAATGTCGATACAATATTCTTTCAGAAAATTTGTTTAGTGGGAAACATTCTTTTTTGGCAGCACGAAATAACTTGAACCATAAAGCAGTTAGCTTTTCATCGAAATATCGTGGTGATAGACAAGTTTTCGTGAATACACAGGCGGGAAATGCTCGCACGTCAAATGTTTTATGTTTTGGTAGCATTACCCCGGCAACAGATGGTAACAGAGTTACAAACTTCATCAATAATACATGTTATAGAGACACCTAGAAAAACGCATTTAAAAATGACGCAAGTGTCCATCTCCGCCGGCAAAAAGCCATCAATCAACTTTTGCGCGCACAATTTTTTTTTTCGTGGAAAATTCTAAGCGGCTGCCCTTAACAACATCATCGAACATTTACAAAATATTTGATATAAAGCTGAAAGAAAAGTGCCCAAAGAAAAGGGATAACTTGATACTGTAAATTCGGTCAAATGTTTCATGGACACAATAATTGTTAATGTAAATCGGCCACCGTGGAGAATTTACGAAGCCGACGTTTCAAGCGTTAGCCCTTCGTCAGAGCGACATTAATCGGAAGTTTAGTTAAGCATCAAAATCGCATCGATAAGAAAAAAATTAAAGTGCTCTGTGAGCAAACTCGTGAATTGACAGATGACCTACATGATTTTTTGGATTATGTTTAAGGAAAGCAAGGAAAAAGAACACCTACTGTTGTACTTGGACTGTTTTTCGGTGGAAAAAAAAGCCCACAAAATAGATTGAGTTGTAACAGGGGGTGAACTTGTCAAATAAAACTAAATCGTATCGATCATGTCTGGTTCTCGTGAATTTGCACGCATTCAAGACTACGCTTAAAATGAAATGTCGTTGAGTCTAGGAGCAGTAATGGGAAATGGAAAAAAAAGGAATGACGAGTAGGGTAGGATGGGAAATTGCGAATGGGACAATGAGACGTAGGAAATGAGAAACGAAAAGTGGGAGATGAGAGACGGAAAAGGAAAATATAGAAGACGCCAAAATTGATAACTAGGAAAACTAAGAATTGTATGGTGAACAACAAGAAGAATTAATAATGAGATTTTGGGAGTGAAAGGGTTAACGTTAATGTTTTAAATACCGATAAGGGTGCCTCGATGATAAAATGATTAAAAAACGCTATGCTTTCTGTGTATTGCATTGTATTGTTACTTGCGCGGGGTTAACTAAAAAAATTTTTCTTTCTCTCTCATTATCAATGCACAGGTTACCGTCAAAATGTGTTTGTTCTTACGACTCCTTCTAATTGTTTTTATAAGCGCTCAGCTCTTAAAAGAAGCAGCAACAACAACAAACACAAAAGTAACAAAATCAACAGCAGTCACGGCTTTAACAAACACATCACAAACAGCAAAATCAGAAATGGAAATAGGTACAAATGTAGCACAAACAAGCCTTCCCTCCGTGAACGAAATCACTTCAACTCAACCAAAGTCACCATCTTCAGGATTTTTACAGATACCATCGTCTTCCCAGTCGGGAAAAACAGCACAATTGGTATCTACGACATTACATACAACAAAAATAACCCAGAGATTTTCTGCTCCGTCAAGTTTGCAAATCTCCACTGAAAACCGAACCATACCGACGAGAACGGCGACAGAAATGAACACCACGTCAAGTGTAAACGCAGCAACAACCGCTTTCCCACATATACATAACACTCTCATCTCGTCTTCAACGAGCTGCAAGTCCCGGCCAGAGAGTGTTTCGCAGTCGACACCCTCTACAGATCTCTATGCAACACAAAGTAAAGCTTCAAGCTACACAACTGGTGTTCCAAACCGAACGCTGTCTATCAATTCAAGTTACACAACGTCGCTAATGATCTTCCCAAGCTCAAACGTGACCACAACTCAAGCCGTACATTTTACAAGCGATCATTCGACGAAAGAGTCTTCTTCTCTTCTGGTCGCTCTTCTAACTACAGCACAGACAAGCTCTCCCTCCGTGAAAGATATAACCACAACTCAACAAAACGCACAATCTTCAGTCGTATTACATATACCATCGTCTTTCCAGTCGGGAAAAACAACACAGTCGGCATCTCCAACAATAAATGCAACAACAGCAGGCCAAAGATTTTCTCCTCGGTCAGGTTTTCAAATCTCCAGTAACAACCAAACCAGACCGATGACAACAGCAACCGCAATGAACAGCACGTCAAGTGTAGACGCAGGAACAAACGCCGTCTCACACGCACAAAACACTCTCATCTCGTTTTCAATGAGCCGCAAGTCCCGGCTAAAGAGTGTTTTACAGTCGACGCCCTTCGCAGATCTCAATGCAACACGAAGTAAAGCTTCAGGCTACACAACTGGTGATCTTAACCGTACGCTGTCTCTCCATTCAAGTTACGCAATGTCGCCCATGACATTCACAAAGTCAGGCGCCGCAAAAACTAAAGCCGTGTATTTCACAAGCGATCATACAATAATAGAGAGTTCTTACCTTCTGGTCGCTCCTTCAACTAAAGCATCAGAAAACTCTCCCTCCGTGAACAGCACCACCTCAACTAAACAAAAGTCATCATCTTCAGGAGTATTACAGATACCATCGTCTTCCCAGTCGGGACAAACAACACAATCTGCATCTACAACAACAAATGCAACAACAGCAACCCAAAGATTTTCTTTTCGGTCAAGTTTCCAAATTTCTAGTAACAACCAAACTAGACCGATGACAACAGCAACCGTTATGAACACCACGTCAAGTGTAGACGCAGGAACAAACGCCGTCTCAAATGTACAAAATACTCTCATCTCGTTTTCAATGAGCCACAAGTCCCAGCCGAAGATTGTTTTACAGTTGCCACCCTTCGCAGATCTCAATGCAACACAAAGTAAAGCTTCAAGCTACACAACAAGTGTTCTTAACCGGACGCTGTCTCTCCATTCAAGTTACGCAATGCCGCCTATGACCTTCACAGAGTCAGGCGCCGCCACAACTCAAGCCGTGTATTTCACAAGCGATCATACGATGAAAGAGAGTTCCCCACTTCTGGTCGCTCCTTCAACTACAGCATCAAAAAGCTCTCCTTCCGTGAACGGCACCACCACAACTCAACAAAAGTCATCATCTTCAGGAGTATTACAGATACCATCGTCTTTCCAGTCGGGACAAACAACACAATCGGCATCTACAACAATAAATGCAACAACAGCAACCCAAAGAGTTTCTCCTTCGTTAAGTTTCCAAATCTCCAGTAACAACCAAAGCAGACCGATGACAACAGCAACCGCAATGAACACCACGTCAAGTGTAGACGCAGGAACAAACGCCGTCTCACACGTACAAAACACTCTCATCTCGTTTTCAGTGCGCCGAAAGTCCCGGCCAAAGAGTGTTTTACAGTTGACACCATTCGCAGATCTCAATGCAACACAAAGTAAAGCTTCAAGTTACACAACTGGTGTTCCTAACCGGACGCTGTCTCTCCATTCAAGTTACGCAATGTCGCCTGTGACCTTCACAAAGTCAGGCGCCGGCACAACTCAAGCCGTGTATTTCACAAGCGATCATACGATGAAAGAGAGTTCTTCCCTTCTGGTCGCTCCCCCAATTACAGCATCAAAAAGCTCTCCCTCCGTGAACTGGACCCCCATAACTCAACAAAAGTCATCATCTTCAGGAGTATTACAGATACCATCGTCTTTCCAGTCGGGAGAAACAACACAATCGGCATCTACAACAATAAATGCAACAACAGCAACCCAAAGATTTTCTCCTTCGTCAAGTTTTCAAATCTCCAGTAACAACCAAAGCAGATCGATGACAACGGCAACCGCAATGAACACCACGTCAAGTGTAGACGCAGGAACAAACGCCGTCTCACATGTACAAAACACTCTCATCTCGTTTTCAATGAGCGGCAAGTCCCGGCCAAAGAGTGTTTTACAGTCGACACCCTTCGAAGATCTCAATACAACACAAAGTAAAGCTTCAAGCTACACAACTGGTGTTCTTAACCAGACACTGTCTCTCCATTCAAGTTACGCAATGTCGCCTATGACCTTCACAAAGTCAGGTGCCGCCATAACTCAAGCCGTGTATTTCACAAGCGATCATACGATGAAAGAGAGTTCTTCCCTTCTGGTCGCTCCCCCAACTACAGCATCAAAAAGCTCTCCCTCCGTGAACGGCACCATCCCAACTCAACAAAAGTCATCATCTTCAGGAGTATTACAGATACCATCGTCTTTCCAGTCGGGACAAACCACACAATCGGCATCTACAACAATAAATGCAACAACAGCAACCCAAACATTTTCTCCTTCGTCAAGTTTCCAAATCTCCAGTAACAACCAAACCAGACCAATGAGAAAGGCGACAGCAATGAACACCACGCCAGTTGTAGACGCAGGAACAACCGCCGTCTCACATGTACAAAACACTCTTATCTCGTTTTCAATGAGCCGCAAGTCCCGGTCAAAGAGTGTTTTACAGTCGACACCCTTCGAAGATCTCAATACAACACAAAGTAAAGCTTCAAGCTACACAACTGGTATTCTTAACCGGACGCTGTCTCTCCATTCAAGTTACGCAATGTCGCCTATGACCTTCACAAAGTCAGGTGCCGCCACAACTCAAGCCGTGTATTTCACAAGCGATCATTTGATGAAAGAGAGTTCTTCCCTTCTGGTCGCTCCCCCAACTACAGCATCAAAAAGCTCTCCCTCCGTGAACGGCACCATCTCAACTCAACAAAAGTCATCATCTTCAGGAGTATTACAGATACCATCGTCTTTCCAATCGGGAGAAACAACACAATCGGCATCTACAACAATAAATGCAACAACAGCAGGCCAAAGATTTTCTTTTCGGTCAAGTTTCCAAATTTCCAGTAACAACCAAACTAGACCGATGACAACGGCAACCGCAATGAACACCACGTCAAGTGTAGACGCAGGAACAAACGCCGTCTCACACGTACAAAACACTCTCATCTCGTTTTCAATGAGCCGCAAGTCCCGGCTAAAGAGTGTTTTACAGTCGACGCCCTTCGCAGATCTCAATGCAACACGAAGTAAAGCTTCAAGCTACACAACTGGTGATCTTAACCGGATGCTGTCTCTCCATTCAAGTTACGCAATGTCGCCTATGACATTCACAAAGTCAGGCGCCGCAAAAACTCAAGCCGTGTATTTCACAAGCGATCATACAATAAAAGAAAGTTCTTACCTTCTGGTCGCTCCTTCAACTACAGCATTAGAAAACTCTCCCTCCGTGAACGGCACCACCCCAACTCAACAAAAGTCATCATCTCCAGGAGTATTACAGATACCATCGTCTCCCCAGTCGGGACAAACAACACAATCTGTATCTACAACAACAAATGCAACAACAGCAACCCAAAGATTTTCTTTTCGGTCAAGTTTCCAAATTTCCAGTAACAACCAAACTAGACCGATGACAACGGCAACCGCAATGAACACCACGTCATGTGTAGACGCAGGAACAAACGCCGTCTCACATGTACAAAATACTCTCATCTCGTTTTCAATGAGCCACAAGTCCCGGCCAAAGAGTGTTTTACAGTCGCCACCCTTCGCAGATCTCAATGCAACACAAAGTAAAGCTTCAAGCTACACAACAAGTGCTCCTAACCGGATACTGTCTCTCCATTCAAGTTACGCAATGTCGCCTATGACCTTCACAAAGTCAGGCGCCGCCACAACACAAGCCGTGTATTTCACAAGCGATCATACGATGAAAGAGAGTTCCCCACTTCTGGTCGCTCCTTCAACTACAGCATCAAAAAGCTCTCCTTCCGTGAATGGCACCACCACAACTCAACAAAAGTCATCATCTTCAGGAGTATTACAGATACCATCGTCTTTCCAGTCGGGACAAACAACACAATCGGCATCTACAACAATAAATGCAAGAACAGCAACCCAAAGATTTTCTCCTTCGTCAAGTTTCCAAATCTCCAGTAACAACCAAAGCAGACCGATGACAACAGCAACCGCAATGAACACCACGTCAAGTGAAGACACAGGAACAAACGCCGTCTCACACGTACAAAACACTCTCATCTTGTTTTCAATGAGCCGCAAGTCCCGGCCAAAGAGTGTTTTACAGTTGACACCATTCGCAGATCTCAATGCAACACAAAGTAAAGCTTCAAGTTACACAACTAGTGTTCTTAACCAGACGCTGTCTCTCCATTCAAGTTACGCAATGTCGCCTATGACCTTCACAAAGTCAGGCGCCGAAACAACTCAAGCCGTGTATTTCACAAGCGATCATACGATGAAAGTGAGTTCTTCCCTTCTGGTCGCTCCCCCAAGTACAGCATCAAAAAGCTCTCTCTCCGTGAACGGGACCCCCACAACTCAACAAAAGTCATCATCTTCAGGAGTATTACAGATACCATCGTCTTTCCAGTCGGTAGAAAAAACACAATCGGCATCTACAACAATAAATGTAACAACAGCAACCCAAAGATTTTCTCCTTCGTCAAGTTTTCAAATCTCCAGTAACAACCAAAGCAGATCGATGACAACGGCAACCGCAATGAACACCACGTCAAGTGTAGACGCAGGAACAAACGCCGTCTCACATGTACAAAACACTCTCATCTCGTTTTCAATGAGCCGAAAGTCCCGGCCAAAGAGTGTTTTACAGTCGACACCTTTTACAGATCTCAATGCAACACAAAGTAAAGCTTCAAGCTACACAACTGGTGTTCTTAACCGAACGCTGTCTCTCCATTCAAGTTACGCAATGTCGCCTATGACCTTCACAAAGTCAGGTGCCGCCACAACTCAAGCCGTGTATTTCACAAGCGATCATACGATGAAAGAGAGTTCTTCCATTCTGGCCGCTCCCCCAACTACAGCATCAAAAAGCTCTCCCTCCAAGAACGGCACCATCCCAACTCAACAAAAGTCATCATCTTCAGAAGTATTACAGATACTATCGTCTTTCCAGTCGGGACAAACAACACAATCGGCATCTACAACAATAAATGCAACAACAGCAACCCAAAGATTTTCTCCTTCGTCAAGTTTTCAAATCTCCAGTAACAACCAAACCAGACCAATGAGAACGGCGAAAGCAATGAACACCACGTTAAGTGTAGACGCAGGAACAACCGCCGACTCACATGTACAAAACACTCTCACCTCGTTTTCAACGAGCCGCAAGTCTCAGCCAGAGAGTGTTTTGCAGTCGAGACCCTCTGCAGATCTCAATACAACACAAAGTAAAGCTTCAAACCACACAGCTGGTGTTCCAAACCGAACGCTGTCTATCAATTTAAGTTACACAACATCCCCATTGATCTTCGCAAACTCAGGCGCTGCAACAACTCAGGTCTTGTATTTCACAGGCAATCATTTGACGAAAGAGAGTTCTTCCCTCCTGGTCGCTCCTTCTACTACAGCACAAACAAGCTTTACCCCCGTGAATGGTATCACCCCAACTCAACAAAAGTCTTCATCTTCACGAGTATTACAGATACAGTCTTCTTCCCAGTCGGGACAGGGGAACATCGACGCAGGAACAACCGCCGTCTCACATGTACAAAACACTCTCATCTCGTTTTCAACGAGCTGCAAGTCCCAGCCACAGAGTATTTTGCAGTCGACACCCTCTGCAGATCTCAATGCAACACAAAGTAAAGCCTCAAGTTACACAACTGGTATTCCAAACCGAAAGCTGTCTATTAATTCAAGTTACGCAACGTCGACGATGATCTTCTCAAACACAGGCGCCACTTCAACTCAAGCCGTGTACTCCACAAGCGATCATTTGACGAAAGAGAGTTCTTCCCCTCTGGCCGCTCCTTTAACTACAGCACAAGCAAGCTCTCCCTCCGTGAACGGCATCACCCCAACTCAACTAAAGTCACCATCTTTAGGAGTGTTACAGAGACCACTGTCTTCCCGGTCGGGACAAACAATACAATTGTTATCTACGACATTAAACCGAAAGCTGTCTATCAATTCAAGTTACGGAACGTCGCCGATAATCTTCACAAACTCGGGCTCCGCTACAACTCAAGCTATGTATTTCAGAAGCGATCATCCGACGAAAGATAGTTCTTTACTTCTGGTCGCTCCTACAACTACAGCTTCTTCCACAAAGCTGACCTCGACAATCTCAGGTATTAACTTCAGTAGGTAGGAGACAATTCTGACATGGATAAAACCCTACCAAACCTTCATAATCAAGTATTGTCTGGTGTGCCAGACTCTTACAACTGTTGGCGCCCTTCTTGTCCTCTACGTTGAAGAGAGGTACCGTGAGGGAAGGGGTATGCATTATTTGCATAATAACCGAAAACAAACAGAAAACAGCATAGTTACCCCAGTTCAAGGGCATCATTTGCACGCCACTGCGCTTCTCTGCGACAAAAAGCTATTACACAAGGGTGTACACCAGAGTTTTCTGTGAGGGTGCGCTACACTTACGACCTATTGGCAAGTTAAGACACGCCGGGATGATTTTCTCGAGAAAAGAGCAAGTCACATGCCTCCTCGTGCCCCTACCTCACCTCCTTCTCCCCCTCCCCTTAGTTAAGCCCATACACAACAAAAAAACAAGCCAAACTGAAGGTTGTTCGCCGCTTTGAGGTAGAAAACAGGTCAAACTTGTCTTGTCTTGTAAAGTTTCAGTGTCGCTTAACTGGACAGACTGGTCCGTGGACTCAAGTGACTGTCAGCGGCACTGTTCAAATGTGGGAGGAACTGTGACTGCGAGTCGTCATTGCTATTCTCATACAGTGACGTTCAAAGAAAGCATCTGTACCAAATACAGAACCTTAACTCAAGTGTTTAAATGTGGCCAACCACATTGTCCAATCTCAGGTTTGTTTGAGCTTCTTTTTTCCAGGATCTAGACTCAGTTCAGCGCAGTCAAACCTTACCTCGAGCCGTCACGTCACAAAGAGGAACTCACCACACAGACTTTTCGCAGACAATTATGCACGAGAGAGCGCCTGGAGATGGCTTAGGCTTGTTTACAATGGGGTGATAATTTATTACTTCTCGTGCTCAACTCTCCCACCTTTCGCAATAACACAGCAGATTTATGTTTGTCCAGATTTGCTTTTTTGCGATTCTCTCACAATTCCCTCCTCAATTAAGTTTCTGCTTTCCCTTTCCTCTCCCCTGTTTTCCGTATACTCCCCTCTACTATTCACCAGGGCTCTCGCTCTCCTGCCCCCATCTACAAATGCTACCAGTCGTTCAAACTGTAGAAGGCCGCTCAAAAATTACATAGACAATTACATCTACCTTTTCAGCCTAGGCTTAAATAGAAATAAAAAGAAGTACATAGCGTTTAGAATCGTCTAAAAATGTGAATAGTTCTGGACCCATTCGAACGGGAAAGAAAAAATTGAGAAAAAGGACTCATCAAGCTTAATTTCTACGTATTTGATTTTTGGTGGATTTCATGAAATTGAATCTTTATGTTTATTTTCACAGGAACAACATTGTTAGGATTGTCCATCTCAACAGTGGTAGTCGGGACTTTGCTTCATATGTAAGTTTTAAAGTGACACTGTGATGATCTACCGTTTTGTAGCTTTAGGAGGCTTGACTTTGATCATGACGAGAGTTGCCCTCTCTAACTATACCATTTTCTTTCAACAGGTTGCCGAACTTTTTCGGGGGTTAAGACTTCAACGACCTTTATAAGGTCAACGTTTGTGTCTTGCTCTCTTAGCATGAGGGTATACTTTAAAGATTGTGGGAGCGTCATGATCGCAGAGGCGTACACAAAATGTAGTTTAAATTTCTTAGACTTTTTTAAGACCTCTAACGTTTATATTTATAGTATAGTATCAAGAGAATGGTCAAGAGATTACAAATGGCTTGATAGTATAAATGTTTTATACACTTTATAAAAAAACGATGTAGTGCTAGATGGTACTTAGCAAGAAAAAAATAAGTTTTTACATTGAGTCAACAGTTACCGGGTTATTGTAAAGTGGAAAAAGAGAAGAGAAAGCACCAAATCTACTTTTGCTAACCATTCCAATTCATGAAGAAAGGAAAACAATCATATTCACTTCAACAGAAAAAAATGAGCCTTAGCTATGGACGGAACGTCTGAACATACGAGTATTCAATACTACGACGATTTCTCAAGGCCAGTTCACGTATATCAAACGTTAATGTCTCATTTTACCATAAGGATAAAGAGTGTAGGGATGCATTTTGACTAGCACATTGTAATACTCGGCACTGTCAGAAATTGATGTTTCAAGGCGGTTTTTGTCTCTAAGGTTCAAACCGGTGTTCTGAAGCTTAACGATCATTAAATTCCATGTTCTTAGAACGACGAATTTCTCCTCTGATCGAGTGCGACTTGCAGTCAGCTTACATAAATAGATTCTGCGACATCTACCACCCTAAGGACAACGATCTTGTTCGCCATCATGAGGGACTCTTGCATTCGTCTTTGATTCAGGAAACCAGTTCTTCTCAGCCATCGTCTCTAATGTTATAATTCCTCACTTTAATTTTCTTTTGAGCCAGCCTACCTTTGCCAGCAGCCTTTTTGGACAATTCTGGTCGCTGCTTTGAAGGTCTACTTTGAACTTCCGTTCGCCTTCCTTTTAGGGCGAACGAATCACGCTCGGGAGAGTCCCGCTCTGGAATATGATCAGGGTCCTGGTCCCTTGTGGCTCTAAGACGCTGAGGAGAGCTGGGGCGAGCTCTCCTGGGAGTTGGACTACGGAAACTTTCTTCTTCGTCCAAAATCTTCCAAATTTCTTGCAACGACGCTTGGCCTTCCGAAGATGACGTAAACAGTGGTTGATCGTAAACTGGCGAAGACGTCCACTGATTGGCTGGTGGACGAGTCAAACGACTATCTACCGGGGCGCTGTCTTTTTTATTTGTATCACGAGATACTACATGTTGTGATTCCAATAGCACTGGTACTTTTCCATCTGCACAAAATATAAGTGACTGCATGAGACAAGCGCATATCTTGACTTTTTTACGATAGGGTGAAAGAAGATAGGGCAAGTCGAAGAGGGGATAAAGTAAATGTTATGTTTTACCCGACATTTGCAAGTAATATCGCAATCTGATTGGCTAATTTGCCGTTGTCGATAAGAGTACAGACAACGCTGCTCGCGTCAACGTGTCACGCAACACGTCACACACTAACAGAATCGTTTCATTTGACGTCGATATTGTGGTAAAATTTTGTTGCAGACTCACACAGCTGCGCCTCGTGAGTCTACATCATTTTGACCACTGTGAAGACGAATATCGCTGTCAATAAGAGTACAGACCACGCAAAACCAGTGTCGATTTGCTAACTGGGTCATTGAATAGTTCTTTTGTGTTGATTGTGGTACAATAAAAGTCTTCATCACCCATAACGATTCGACTCCCTGACACGAGCCTTCCCCCACAGTGGATGTTCTACCACAGAGCTATTGGATATCGGTTTGATACCAGGCCTCATTTCAGCTTGATATCCTTTTAGCACGGTACTTAAATGAATTCTTACCATAATACGTTTCTATATATAATATTTACTATTAAGGATAAGGTGCATCTTAAAGAAAGAAAGAGAATATCCTCTCAAAATCACACAACATCGATAAAAAAATCTACACTCACCATCATTAGAATCACTTGAACTTGAGGCTACAGTGATTTTGACATGCTCAGCTGCTTGCTGTTCTTTTAGAGCCATACGCTGTGCAAACTGGAGCTCCTGAGAAGTGAGCTGGTATTGCAGGTTTTCCACAGCACCTAATTGGCTCTGTAAATGGTCCTTCATCTCACCTGGGGTCCTTCCGATAGGGGTCTTTCCTGAAGAGGCTTCAGTGACTAAGGGCTGAGGGGGCTGGCTGATTATACGGCCAAGGGGAGCGCTCTTTCGACCATCTGACAATTGCCAGAGAACGATTGAATGTATTTCAGTTTGGTTTAAATATTCACGTTGAGAAGATTGCTGAGGTTAAGACGCTACATCCGAGACTATTAAGGCGAAAAATCGGGATTCCGAGAGAATCCACACGGCATAAATCACACACAGCTCATGGAACAAAATTTGTCTTTTCGTAATCGACAGCATGGATGTCGTCGACATGACAGTTGGGTAGCATGTCTGGGTGTGACATAGTGTGACTGGATCAATGTTAGTATCTGTGTAACTGCGCGCCCACCTCTCCACTAGCCCAACAACAGTCAACTGATATTAAGTCAGGGTTAATGTTGGGTAAGGAGGGGGGGGGGGTAGGTGCGGAGTTGCTCAGATACTGTCATGGATACGTGCAACTCCACTTGCCTTTGAAGAAATCCTAGTTAGGCACTTGGCATGAAGTGATCAGGAGTTTTGCCACTCCCCCTTAATGTAGGAATCATGTTTCATCGCAGATTTCTTCTCGTCATTTCTTACTTTTTTCCTGATAAACTACTAGGGTCCGTTTAAACCCTTAAGTGGAGAGAGGCGCTGTGAGAAAAAAACTGTTTTGGCCGAGAAAACAGCCCAATGACCTGGGTAGGAGTCGACCCAAGCTCTCGTGTTCAAACCTCTAACCGTAACCACCTGGTCTCTCACAAACGTTGTCTTTTAACCCTTTAACCCCTAGGAGTGACCAGCTTCTAATTTCTCCTTACAATATCACCCCTGAATCAAACATTAAGGTCACGAGAATCAAGGAAATGATTACCAACTCATAAAGCTCTTAATTTATAAACAAATTCTCCTTGTCAGTATTTCAGGAAATGTATAGAGAACAGTATGGAGAATATGCATACTGATGTTAGGGTGTAAAGGGTTGATTTAATTTTAAAACCTTTCTGCACGAGAGAAAACTGATCATCTGTCCTCTTTCAAAATATCATCTTAAGTTCTCTTCAACCAAAACTGATTTTTACGCCGACAATTCAACGTCTCCATCGTTTGTAGCATTCAGTCAAAAGGGATTATGAACAGACTTGAAGGTTACCTGTATATTTTGCAAGCTCCGCTCTGAGCCTGTTTCCCATCTGAATAAGCTGTTCTTTCTCTTGAGACATTCGGCTGATGCGCCGCGCCGCCTCATGTAATTTGTTTTGTAGCCGCGCCATTTGAGATATTGACGGTCGATTAAGAGACACTGGATCGAGGAAATCTTTGTCGCTTGTTTGAGCACCTGATTATAATAGGATGCAATATATGCCAATATTAAAGGCAGTTCTGTTTGTTTTTTCAAAGCCTTATCAAGAATAAGAGTTTGCTGAAAACCTACAACATTTAAAACGGAAACTACTAAAATAAACAAAAATCATTGTTCACTTGGAGAAGTAACTCTATAAACACGACTAGACAAACATGCATGCACCCTCCTTTCACCCCTCATCTCCAACTTGTAGCCCTCCATGGTTTGCCCAAGCCAGGTCGCATTGTAACATTCAGACTGCTCGCAGGCCAGGTCGCATTGTAAACCTTAGACTGCTGGCATATCCTACCTGTTGTGAGTTGTTTCCTCAGTCGATGAATCTCATCTTGAAGTTGTTTAATGATTTCTGCCTGAGGATTGAATGACACAGCTCCTCTCCCTTGAGATGCAAGTTCGACTTTAAGACTTGACAGCTATTAGCAGAAACAAATTAGCAAAAATATGAACTGGCCACCGTAAAGCGTTTAAAGGTTGACGTTCCGAGCGTTAGCCATTCGTCAATCGCTACGACGAAGGGCTAACGCGCGAAACGTCAGCCTTTAAACTCTTTACGGTGGCCAATTTACGCTTTTAACTTAGTTGATGAAACTAAATTACCCTGTTATACTCTCCCACTGACACAGTGTACCACAGTTTCTTTAGAAACCTACTCCCTTGAGCAAAAACATCGATAAGTTGAAGAAAAAGCAGCGACGATGGACGGGGGGAGGGGGAGTGGCAGAACTCGCAGTCGCGGACTGAACTATAAACAAGAGTTACTTTGAGAAATTTGCGGCTTAATACTTTTAGTTATTTTCAAATCACCTGATTTCCTAAGGACGTTGCCTCAGCATTCCGTTCCAGTCCACTCCTGAAGTACTCATCCGCCTCTCTTCTTGTCTGGGTCAGTTGCAGCTCCAGCTCATTTGCGCGCTGTTTCAGAGCAGTCAGCTCATCAGTCGCTCGCCTGCTCTGTGTCGTAAGTTCGTACTGTAGCTGATCCATTGCTAACTGTTTCTGGCGAACCTGCCGAAAGACAAGAAGTGATCTGTTCAGCCACATCTTTGTGAAGGACACTGCACGAAGTTTTCGAACAGAAAGTTACTTCTAAGTTGAACATCGTCTCAAGGAGGAGAGTTTAGTTGCAGAAAAATGACTGGAAATTAGCGGAGAGTGACTCTTAGAGCCTGGATCAAAGTAATGTCTATCTCGCAGAGGTCTTCACTGTTTTGAGTTACCTCCTCGTGCACTTGAGTCAGAGATCCCTGCAGATGATCCACAGTGCCTTGAAGTTTCTTCACTTGTGTTGACAGCTCCAGTTTTTCCTGGCGTAAAGCACCTGATTAACAACAACACAAATACGTACAGGTATTTCTAAGCTCTAGGAGAAAATAACACTGATTCTTAATGTGAAAACGTGAATTATAACAATGTGCATGAATGTTAACAACGTTTATCATTTAGGCTACCGTTGGAGGTAAGAGACAGAAGAAGCTTGCAGACATTGCTCTTCAAGTAACTGCAGCTTATACCAGTATAACTACTTCGAGCCCTTCTTTCCGGCAAAGTTCGTCGAGAAAATGCAAAATGAAAAAAAAAAAAAAGAAAGAAAGAAAGAAAGCGACGGACTCTAGAAATTAAGCTTCTGCAAAAACGTATCAATGTAGGGGGTAAGTTTCTAAACAAACTGTGGTGCTGCGTCGGTGGGGGAGTATAGCAAGGTAATTACGTATTATCAACTGAGTTGATAACGTAACTCAGCCACCGTAAAGAATTTGAAAGCTGACGTTTCGAGCGTTAGCCCTTCGTCAATCGCTCTGACGAAGGGCTAACGCTTGAAACGTCAGCTTTCAAACTCTTTATGATGGCCAATTTAAGTTATCAACTCAGTTGATAATACTTAATTGCTCCGCAAAAATACTTAGCTGAAGCAATTATATCGCAGCCAGAGAAAAGTGGGGGTGGAATAGGCACAGGCAGAAAGATCTTGACATAAATTTCGATACACGAAAATGAATGGTATTTGCGCTTGCCTTGGCGTCGTGTTCCACTAGGAAATAACCTGTTGCAGTTTCTAGTCAAAGTAAAAGAGCGAAATAGTGGATGAAGAACGTTTGATGGTTAAACTACCACCATTTTTTGCCGCTCGCCTTTTGGCTCAGCACAAGTTTTCCAGCGAATTGTTGCATGTTGTTGCCCCAGCCTTAAGACAGTTAAGTTCTTACCAATTGTTCCATTCAGTTCCCTAATATGGGCTTGTATGAACGGATCTTGAGGCTGAACACCAGATACCGCTATTTGTGCACGACTACGAGGTTGGGCGGACTGTGGTTTCTCCTCAACTTGCTGTTTCAGTGTTCGGTTCTTTGACTTCAATTCTGTGATCTCCTTTTCAAGTGACTCCACATACTCTGCAGAGAAAAGATCCTTTGACTAAAATTCAAGAAGAGCGCTACATTAGGTAAAGTATTTCTAAAGCAAGTCCCAGTATCAATTTAAGTTAGCCTGCGTAACTGACGGCTTTCTGTGCTCAAAAGAGCTAAAAACCGATAGACGACGAAACTCCGATAGGCTTGGGACGGAAATTAACCGCGGCTTCGCAGCACATCACTTCGCCCACATAAGACCCTAGAGCGCACAAAACTTATTTAAGCGCATTGTATTGGTTCTAGTTTTCTTCGCTCTGCGATATGTCCAGGAAATTCGGGCCACCCTCTTACACAATTAGACACAAAAATACAACCAATCGCAACTTAGTAACTTGCGTTCTTCCATTACCTTTAGTCAGTGGCACAGGGGACCCCTTTTCACTATCTCTTCGTTGCCCCATCGTCGATGAGGGCCTTGCAGCAAATTCATTGCTAAGGTTCTCCATGTCCTGCCGCATTTGTTTAATCACAGATCTCAAATTGCTGTTCTGTGCTTCCAGCTCTTTGATTTTCTCCTCAGGGGGGAAGTCACGAGGTTTTCCAACATCACGCGAAGAACCCTCGAGTTGCTCTTCCTTATTTGGCAGTTGTGTTGGAATGGCGAGACCATGCCTTTGAAGGGTTGCGAAGGCCTGATCTCTAGTTTGGGTCAAGACACGGATAAGTTCATCTCTTTGTGCCAATTCTCGCTCCCGTTCTTGAGCAAGCGCCGCAGCCTGTTGATACAGAAACAAGACTGCTTACCACGTAGAGGGATTGTTATTTGGTTATTGAAAGTAATCCTGATTTCAATTAATTTCTCTTCTTCGTGCTTAGAACAATTAAGAGCGGAAGAAAGGTTAAAAAAAAGCGACTTCATTCAAGGTAGGTTTCAAAGAAGACATTGAATATCCAGAGGGGTGGGATGGGGCTATAATCAAATGACCCTCCGAGGGAGGGAAAGGGATAATCGCTTTTCTGGATCAACACACTGTCAAAGTGGAACCATATAGAGTAATTTTTAAGAAAGTGGTAAGGTACTGATCTAGGTTTCTCGCTCTCTATGACTAGTGGAGAAAACCTATACTACCTTCAAAGCTAATCAGGTGCAAGCTAGTAAGATCAATCGCAATTCAACAAAGTCAACTTGTTTTGACTTAAATTTTGGGATCAATGTTAACATCTGAGCACCTGCGCAACTACCCCTCCCCTAATCCAACAGTAACTCTCCCTAAATAATTAGCAGTTGAGTGTTGTTGGGTTAGGGGAGGAGTAGGTGCACAGTTTGCTCAGAAACTGACTTTGATCCGTACCTCAAAGGCACCTTGTGATATTTTCCTTTGTTCTAAGTGGTAGCCATTCTGGTTTTGGTTTATTAACACTCAATCTAAAAGGATTATGACTTGCTCTCCCTATACCACGTACCTCGTCTCTCTGCTTTGTGAGAGCAGCAATAAGCTGCTCCTGTTTATTGTACATCTCTCTTTCAGTGTCCTCGCATCGCCGCTGCCAATCAACTTCAAGCTGAGCTCTGGATCGCTCTATGGAAGACTCTCGCTCCAAAGCAACGGTGAGTTCTTTCTTATATCTGCATGAAAAAGGTTGATAAGATATTTAATTGAGGTAATAGGCTAGAAAGGTTTGCCACCTTAAGATATGAATTAGAGTTAATGATAAAATAGCAGTGTTTAAGACCACGGCTGGCAAATTAAGCAAATTCTATGCGAGGTTAATTTATCACAGTCCGTTTTCCCCACATTGAAACGTTTATCTCAAAAACACGCTGATGAAAAAGAAAAAAGGAACACTTTTTGATTTCCAAAAACACTGTCCTTAACGATATAGTTTAGGTTAGGCTTCAACATCAAATCTGAAATGTCATCTGTATTTAAGGAGAGTTACTTTACGAATAAATATTCCACAGATTAGAGGACCATCTGGAAGTTTGCCGCTTACTGCCATTCATTTAACAGAAAATGCACTTTTTTCAACAGTTTAACAGTTATGCTTTTGAAAAAAGTCTTAGTCTTTCTGTGTTCGTCACATGGATCAACAAACAGGCCCGCAAATAAATTAATATTGAATCAATGTTCAATTACCAATATTTGTTGTTAACTTTACCTTTCAGTGTTTTCCTTGAGCTGTACAATTTCCAACCTCATCTTCTCTTCCTGATGACGTAACGCTTCTAGTTCCAAGTCACGAGCCACTGTGGATCTGGCGTGATCAGCTGATTGTTTTTCCAGTTTGTGCTCTAGATCGGCTATGGTCCCCACTAGTCTGACAGCAAGTAATGAGATGATCACAATCAAACAGGAAGCATTATTGGGATGGAAACTTTACCACTTACCACTTACTATCTGCCATACAGTTCTTGTGATGTTAGTTTGGAGACTTTGGTATTGGATTAACTTATAATTACCTAATTGATATTTTTTCTTTATTCTCATCACTTGTCTGCTTGATATTGTTTTGATATTGTAAGAAGAAATCCTGTCTCGATCACTCATCGGAGTTAGAGGGTTAACCCTTTAATCCTTAAGAGTGACGAGCTTATAATTCTTCCCCAAAATATAATCCATATTTAAACATTATGATCACAAGAATTGAGGAAATGATCACTAACTGAAGAAGCTCCTGATTGTTATACAAATTCTCTTTGATGGCACCTTAAGAAATGTATAGAGAACAGTATGGAGAATGTGTATACTGATGTTAGGGTGTAAAGGGTTAACGCCTAACTTCAATTCTCAAACTGGCTGGTACTAGACGTTCAGTCAGTGAAATGGAAAGCCACAGTAAATAGCAGCATCGAAGTGGTTGAGCAAAAAACCAAAGGAGGTTTAGTTTGGTACCTGTCCAGTCCCAAACTTCCCATGTTTTTGCCCTGTTGCTATTACTACTGCACTCCACTCTACTGATGGAATGCCTTGAACAGACTATTCTTTTATTTCACATTGCACATGGATTGAGTTTGTTATTGAAAGAGTAATTTTCAGTGAGAGTGGAAAGTAATCGGATATTGTTTTGGTTTTGCTCTTCTTCACCCTGCAATTGGGTTCATAGCACACAAATAAAAAAGTCATTTTGATTACCTTTGAAATTCCAACTCTTTTTCTTTCCCAGCATCCTTGATGGCCCATTGAAGTCTGCGGCATTCCACTTGCTCAGTCTCTAGCTGATTCTGCAATACTCTGATCTTCTCCTCTAGACTTCTTTCAAGCTCACCATGGGCCTTAACAACAAACCACAGAAGCTATAATTATGTCCTTAACCCTTAAACTCCAAAGAATAACCAGCATCTAATTACTCTTGACAAAATAACCCTGGGGTCACCTCTCTGCAGAAAACATAGCAACATTGTATTGTACATTGTAATTTTGATCATTGCTTGCATTGAAAGGGTTTAACTTACCTCTTTAGCTGCAATAAGTGCTTGTTCCTTCTCCTTAGCATATCGATCCAACTCTGCATGCTTGTGTTGAAATTTCTCTTGCATCTTGTTCATTGTCAATCTTAACTGTTCCATTTCTGCTTCCATTTCAGCCACCTTTGCTTTGTTCATGTTCTGTTCATCTGTTAACTGCCATTCCTTCTTCTTCAGCTCCTTTTCTAAATTGTGGACAACTGTCTCTGTGTCTTCCAGTTCATCTTTTGTTCTTTCTCCACTGGCTCTGAGTAACTCTAGTTCCTTTGTGAGCATTTTAACCTGAAAATGGCACGCCCCATTATCTCATCTTTAGTATACCACAGGCACTAGTAACTTGCTAATCCAGGATTAGATTTAAAATTTAAGACGACAGTGTATATTAGGGTATTACTAAAGTGTTCTGTGAGGTTTCACCATTGTGCATTGTAAGACTGAAGAGAGCAAACTCTACATTTTAGAATTATTGATCATGCTGTTAGATCTAAGTCAAACTTCTACTTATAATAAGTAATTTAGTGTTACCGACTGAGTTCAAAACATAAGTTGGCCTCCGTAAAGAGTAAAAAAGCCGACATTTCAAGCATTAGCCCTTCACTCTGACAAAGGGCTAATGCTCAAAATGTCAGCTTTTTTACTCTTTGCAGTGGCCAATTTACGTTTTCAACTCAGTTGTTAACATTTAATTACCTGCTTTACTCTCCCACTGACACAGCACCACAGTTTCTTTAGAAACTTACCACCTTTATTCTTCTTATAATAACCATCAATCACATTTTGATCAATCCAGACTAATTTTATTCTTGATCAGATTTTATACAAACCTTTAACTCATGAGTAAGTAAAGAATTACTCAGGTCATCTGCTTTCTTTCTGAACTCATGTTCTCTTTTGCGCTGTGCATCATCAAATCCTGACATTAACTCTTGCCTCTGAGCTTCTACATCCTCCTCAGCTGCCCTGTATGAATTACAAAATAGAATTATTTGATAATTTGTTGTTGTTTTTTTTTTAATTAGTTCCTCCATCAGTTCAGCGATTGAGCTGAGTACTTCATCCAGAAGGAGCTTATCCCACTCACAATACCACAAGGTGACTTAAGGATTATTGTTACTACCTCTGAGTGGCCTGAAAGTCCACTGCAGATTACCCAAATAATTTCATCTGATTTCCCTGAGAGTTTGGTGATAGGAACTTATACTCCTGGGTAGAGAAAGGCAAAGTGAGAGTGAAGTGTCTCACCCAAAAAACACAAGACAAAGGCCAAGTCAAGTCTTGAATGCAGACCTCCAAACCCAGAGTCCAGCGTGCGAAATGTTAGCCAACAATGTCTCCCACATCTGAACTGAATATTACTCTATAATTAACATACCTCAGCTGTACTTGCAGCTCTCTTTTGAATGACTCAAATTCTTCTCTTTCTTTGTTCACTTCATTTTCTTTGTTGAGTCTAAACTGGTTCAGTTCTTGTTGATGTTCCCTCAAACGCTACAATTCAATAAGTAGCCAAGAGATGAGAGACCCAGGATTGAGGGAAGATGGATGAGTCACAAACAATTATTGTTATATATATATATATATATATGATAAATAAATAGCCTCTATTTGGCAAGAAAATATGTACAAATATTTGTCTGCAGACATTATCTGTTCCAAGATGCAAACAGTTTTTTGAGAGCAAAGCTCAAGGAAAACTGTGAACTTTGAGGAACAGAGAAGGTCCAAGGAAAAATATCTAGAAATAATTTGGCACAAAATAGAGGCTATCGTGTTTATTGTCCTTCAAGTATTTTAGAATGTGCGTGAAAAAAATGTTTATGAACAGCTTACTGTATATAGCATGGGATATTTTCTTTTAAGTGTTCTATGATACGACTTAATGCACAAAAAAATATTTCTCTTCTTCTGTAACACCCACAAAACCCTCTCTCATCTTGAATTAAATTTGAAGCAAAGACTTATTGTAGTAGACATAAGGTTTAAAAATTGGGGAATATTGCTTGAGTATATTCTGGGATATCACTCAGTTTTAGCTGGGGGATATTTGGTCACATGCTGCATATAGACCAATCACATGCTAGCAAAAATATTTGATGGATCATAAGCTGAATTATACAGACATTTTGATTGATTCCTACTTGTGATCTAATGGAGAACAGACACATAGATGATGCCACCATAATAGAGCGTTTCCTTTTTTATCATATATAAAATATAGATTAGATGTTGCCATGTTTCTGTGCAGTCATTGATCACAGAAGACCCCAAAATGTGGTTAGAACATCAGTGACACACTCGACTGCCCCTTGTATGCCACTGTTTTGTTCTCTTGTTGACATTTGATGCCATCTGTGATCTTTCACGGAACAGACGTACAGCAACACGAAATCTATTTGTTTACCAGCTCATTAATGTCTAAAGTAGTGGGATCACCGACTGAAGTTACAAAAAAAGAGAGAAATCTTGGGCAAATAACCAGGAAACACATTACGGTTCCCCCAGCTCCAAAATTAACGTCTAAATTTTCACACCTGTTGGTAGTGCCTTTGCAGTTCTTCTTTGGCCTTCTCCTCGTGAGATAACTTGAGTTTGAGGTCATCCAACTGGATTTTCAGATCACTGACCTCACCATCTCTTGAACTATTGATGTTTCTAACTTGCGAAAACAACGCATCGTATCTTTGTAGTTCCTGGTCTCTCTCCTGTAACAGTTTCAGGTTGTATTCAAAATCCTCTTTCAACTTCCTAAATCGCACTCTTTCGTTGTTAAGCTGTCTTTCTTTCTCCTTAAGAGCATTCTGCAGTGATTTATTTTGCAGTTGCTGTGCTTCTCTCCATTCATTTTCTTTTTGTTCAACTAGTTCTTGAAGAGACGAAGTTTCGACGGAAATATGTGCCATAAAAATATAAATTCTTAGCGGCGGTCTGAACAGAAATCGCGATTGTTATCGTACTCAAATTTACATGGAGATTCATAGTACAAACTGAGTAATTCAAATACAGTTAATGAAACACGATGACATCCCCAATTTCGTAAAAATATTAGGAAAACACGAGATCGATGTCATGCATCCAACTGAAAATCTGCCGCCATAATATTTGCAGTAGTTCGACCCCAGACCTCTCGCGATTCAAACAGTCCTCAAGCGACGCATGCGGCAGATTTCTGCGTGAAATTTATTGATCACCCCTTATCGAAACTTTCCAGTTGACCGAAATGAGTTGGAAACTTGCGCAATCGTCTGCTGTTGTATATACTGTGATGCGAGGAACTTAGTTAAGTTTCAAGGAGTAGTTAAAATGTGGCTACTGAGGAAAATTGATGATTAAAGCAGCATTCAAATTTGTAGATGGGGTATTCACATCATGAATACTGTCATTAAATAAAGAAAAGTCCATGATTTATTGACCAAAATTGGTTTGGCAAATACAGATCCTTTAAAATATTTGTAACAAAGTATAACAGATCATATACACAAACTTTATCCCAGATATTCACCTGTAACAGTTTTGATCCATGCTGTACAAAAGCCACTTAGATCCTTTCACTCTTCCATTTAACAGTAATAAAAATATTCAGATAGTCAAGATAAAAATCATCTTGAGAATTATGGAAAAATATTCAAACATTCAAATGTTGCTATTCAGTCTGATATAAATAGGCACTATGCTGAAGCTTGGGTAACCTGTGATCTCTGTGCATGTATGTCATGTCAGCACCCAAGGCTGATAAGGATCATATTCCTAACAAATAACTTAATTAGCCCCAGGTCTCCATGCTTTGCCTGGTTAGCTGTTGATCAACTGACATTTAGTTATCATATGACCACTTTGTTGTGTCTGTTCAATTGCTCCAGTTCTTTCATTACCTTCCCTCCCTCCCAAGGGAGTTTTCTTTGAGCCCTCAGAGCTCCTTAACCAATTCGCTGTCTCATTTATACACTGCATTGAGCAAGAGGGGGGTGGCAATGATCACCAGTAACAGGGACTATTCTAATTATCAAATAAAACTGTTTTGAACCCACAGTTTTGCAAGTTAGGGCTGCTTTTACTTTGAATCAATCAATATTACTTTTTCAATTAACTCTTTGACTCATATGAGTGATTAGTAGATTTGTATCTAATTTCTCCTTACAATATCACCCCTGAATCTAACATTAAGGTCACAAGAATAAAGGAAATGATCACCAGCTAAGCAAACTCTTGATTGATGAACAAATTCTCCTTGTCAGCACTTAAGGAAATGTATAGAGAACAGTATGGAGTATTAGGGTATCAAGGGCTAATTCTCTGATGATGGTGACCTACTGAAATTAAATGAATGATGAGATTTCTCTGTTCTTGGCAAATTACAAAGGAAAGATTGCCTCAAAAGCTAGAACCTCCAAAGCTGCCACCTCGAAAAAATTATACCCACCAAACATCCAAAAGCAACAAATATAAAAAAAAGTTTCAAAGGAAAAAGGCTACTAGTTAATCCTGAGTATAAGGAATCATTACTTTCAGAGCTTCACCACAGCCCGCAGTTCTTTAACATTCTTTTGATCAAACCATAGAACTGTCAACTGCTTTCAAGTTTGATGATGTGAGAGAGAGTCAGAACACCAAATGAATCTCATCATCAACTCTTCTCACATCACAGCCAAATTTCTTGCATTCCCTTGACATTGTTTTCACAAGCCACTTCACACCCTCTTCTTTGGCCTTGTTAACTCGCAAATGTTTTATCTGAGTTGGTACCATTCTGAGACCAGCCAACATGCCTGTGTCTGGACTTACATCAGCAAAGTACATCAAAGCAAGATCACCGCGATATCCTTCATGACCTGTGATTCCCTCATAGTCATTCAAAAAGTCACCACAACCATAAATAATAAGTCTTCCATTGTGAACCTCAATGCCTTTGACATGATGCGATGAATGGCCCTGAATGATGTGCACACCCGCCTCATCAATTGCTTTGTGTGCAAACTTTACAAAGGAAGACTCAACATTCCAACCCCAGTTTCCTCCCCAATGAATTGACAACACAATAATGTCACCATCCTGTTTGTGGTTTTCAATTAGATTTTTTAGCTCATTTACTGACTTGCTAGCTTGATAGAAGTCAACGATGTTAACTCCTTCCTTGTCTTTCCTTGCCTGCCACGAGTCAGGGATTCCACTTGAGGAGTGCCCAGCAGCGAAGACCAACACTCTTACACCCTTATTACTGATATGAAAAACAGCTGGAGCTTTTGCTTCCAAAGAATTTTGCCCAGCTCCAGCAAATTTAATGCCGCTGTTATCTAGGGTATTCATAGTTTCTACAAGACCAGGAAATCCCCAGTCTGCGATATGATTATTTGCCAGAACACAACAGTCAATATTTGCTGACTGAATAACATTTACATTCCCAGGGTGCATACGATAATGGATTCCTTTCAAAGGCCACTGAGTGTCACTTGTAGTCACTGAAGTTTCCAAGTTGATAATCCTCAAGTCTGGCTTCTTCTCCTTAAGTATTTGTATTGCATCTCCCCACACATAGTCAAGAGATCGCTCACTCTTATCAGGTAATGGTCCTGTCTGTCTTTCAGCTAAACTGACATAGTCCCTTGCATCCAGCCCATTACTCTCATAGAGTATGGGGTTGTTGGAGTGTTCTAAGATCATATCAATCCCTCTCCCCAACATAACATCACCCACCATGAACATGGTAACAGGTGTGACCATCCTCTGAAATTTGAAATCCAATTTTCATTATTTTAATTACTGATGCAATGATTAAAGACAAATAATTCAACCATGCACAGTGAAAGGTTTAGGGTTGCATGATCTGGCGTGGGCATGAATTTTGAATATTATCAGCCTCTAATCTACTTCTTCTATGTAATCTAAAAATGAGCACTACACCTAACTTACTTACTTATCATGAATCATTGAGAATCACTTTGCTATGATTAAATCTAGAGTTCAACCTCTATTTTTCGAAACATGGGAATCACCTCAATACGAGTTACTTAGGAGTTCAAACGAGCTATCTGTTTTCAAACAAAACAGTTCGATTGTCTTCACTGTCATCAGCTGTCTTCACTGTGAAGCTGTCATTTATTCAATCTGGGAACAATTTTAATGAGGTTGTAGCCAAAATTCCTGAAGTAACTGTTGGAATGTTCACAATCATTTCATATAAGTTCACCAGTTCGAAAGATTTACTTACCTTACTCGCTTGAGAAGCAAGATCTCCTCTTCCTTCACGAAATACTTCGGACTTTGAAAACTTAAGACTGGAGTTTGAAGATCCCATTCCACAGGGACATAACAATTTCAAAACACGACAGGATCTGCGGCACGTTAGCATTAAGCATTATTTAATTCTTTACCATACTGGAACTTTTGCGATTTCAATTACTTCTTTGAAAGTCAGCAAATATTCATACAATACAAGTTGATCCTTCAAAAGAACAGTTATTATGAATTTTTAAATCTCTTTGACACGAAACTCTCACATGGTATCCGATTGTTCCCGATTATTTTACGAAATTGACCGACAAAAAAACGACTCCTTATACAGCAGTTCCAGGCCTCTCAAATTGCGTAGTTCAAGATGGCGGAAGCGATCCTAAATGACAGCAGATCTTCCTGCTTGTAGTTTACCTGTTTGATATCAAATGCTGTGATATTTAAGGCAAATTGGGCTCCTTTTTGCCGAGAAGAAGGTGAATGACAATCAAGCTGGGTCTCTTAAACAATGTCCAGGTGCGGTTTTTATGCCCAGCCGACGTTGATGAAGTCAAACGACTATGCCGTGAATGGTTTCCGATCGAGTGAGTATGAATTTCTGTTTTCAATACAGAACGGGAGTTGAATTGAAGGTAGAGTGATAGGTGTCGAAAAGGTGATAGCTAGTAGCGAAGGTAGAGGAAAATAGCAAAACCAGTTGTGGTTAAGAGTTAATTTGTTTCCAGTTAATTGGATAAAAACACGAAGAGACACAATGATACTGCCTGGTTTGTCAAGCGTGTGTTTTGACAAGGTTGAACTGAACTATAAAAGGAGTGAATTCCAGGCATAGTCAATAAAATAAATTGAAAATCAGACTTTTAAAATTTCTTTTCCCTTTTTTCGAAGGCTGATGTACAAATCCAAGGTTTTCAGGAGATGAAGAAGTTCACATTTTAGTTTAACTGTTTACTCAGTTGTCAAAGTTACTATTTTTAGTTATTATGTACGAAGTCTAGCTTACAGTTCTGTTGGCCTAGAGAGTTGCAAAACGATATCGCAGCTTTCTCCCCTAATAAAGATTGAATATTTTGAAGCTATGGTTTTTGAAGCTATGTCGTTAAAATTTCGAACGAGAGAGCAAAGCAAAACAAAATTTACAAAAGCAATGCGAATAAATATTTCTAAGACCTGTTTCCAGGAGGCTCAGCTGATAGATATTTGCCACTTGCCTAAATAAGCTACCACTTATATTTTCAAGAGTATTTGTTGTTTATACAACAGAACTCTACACCTGTTGTAAATATTACTATCAAGTAAGGCATTCCTCCAAGACATAACTGTGACACTCTTTCTTTAATTTGCTAGATGTTATATCTTTTTACTAAATCTTTTACAGATACCCTGATGTTTGGTATGAGGAGATAACATCAAGTTCCCGATTCTTTTCATTGGCTGCCACATTAAATCATGACATTATAGGACTCCTTGTAGCTGAGGTGAAAACCAAGTCTTTATGCAACAAAGAGGTAAAGTAGTATGAGATGTTGGTTTTAAATCATATCAGGTTGAAACAATTTTTTTCATCAAGATACAGGAGTGATAAAAAAGTTCTGGGGAATTTTTCTTCCATCCAGGGTCAAAGGTAACATTTCACAGTAAGTGTCCCTTAATTGTGTGGAAAAAAACTGGTCAGAACACCTTCCAATGCCAAATTGTTAGAAGTACTTCTAGCTCTACTTGTTACCAGGTCTTTGTATGGTTGTTAAACCTTAACACCTTAACATTAGTATGCATATTCTCCATACTGCTCTCTGTACCTTTCCTAAGCTGTAGACAAGGAGAATATGGTTATAAGGCCAAGCTTAACTGCAAAGGCAAAAGTAATTCATGCAGACTGGTGCTTGTTCTAATGGTAAGAAAAGAACCATTGTAACCATGTTTGATTTTTATTGTAGGACACTGGAATTCTTTCTTTTGCTTTCGGTGATGATTCTCAAGTGGCTTATATTCTTAGCATTGGCGTGGTTAAACACTATAGACGACATGGAATAGGTGAATACTTGCTGATTTGTGTTGGAAGTTACAGGAGAGGTTTGCTCCAAAATCCATGTAATCTTGGTCTCTGCCTCTGAAAGTATAATTATAAAGAAAATTTATCACTGATCATAATTTGAGATTCCAAAGAGTGACTTGGTTTGAAATTTGTCTTCAGCTGTGCTTAAAGTGTTGACTTACTAGAAGTCTGCCAAATTTTTTAAAACAGCTGGGGGATAGAGCTGCTCCATAGGTTATGACAAAAAATGATTTATCTATACATCAAGAATCCTTTCTGTGTTGCTGCTTATTGTTTTAAAGATATTCTAAAGAGAGAAAGTGGAGTTAGTCTTATGTCAAAGGTAAGCAGCCAGTTGGCTAAGAAAGATTTGAAAGGGAGGTACCCGCTTGGTATCAGTAGTGGAATTTTTGGCACATTTGAAGATGATTTTCAGCGGATGGAATCTCAAAATAGGATCAGTGTCCTAATTTTGTTTTTACTAATGGTGGAAACAAAGATGATATGGTTTCTTGAGCAATCTTTGCCTTTCATATTAAAAAAAAGTCTGTGTCATGCACCCTCCCCAGGTGACTCTGACATTAGGGTCTGTCCATAACAACCATCCCTCAAAGAGAATCCTAGGAGAACTACCAGAAATATTCTGATTTGATTGATTACACAAACACTTTCATGTGCAGGAAAATTAATGATTTTGTCATTTCAGGAACTCTTTTGTTGGATAGCTTACTTTCCCACCTGACCACTCCTGAGAGGGAAAATTGCAAAGCTGTCTATCTTCATGTTTTAACCACAAACTTTGCTGCAATGAAGTTTTATGACAAGAGACATTTCAAGCAGTTCCGCTACCTGCCCTTGTACTATGCCATCAATGGAACCCACAAGGATGGATTCTCTTATGTGCTTTATATTAATGGAGGTGAACCACCGTGGACACTTGGATATCCTTTATGAAACCTGGGCTTTGTTTGGTTTTTATGTCAAAAATTTGGAATTTGTTTCATTTGCTAAAGAGATCTTCAAGCCTATAGGGGTTTGCATGAGAAAGAAACTTATTTCTATATGAATTGAGTTTAAAACCTTATTAGAAGGAAAAACTTGTGATAAACCAATTCTCAACATATTTTAAAGCTCTTTAGTTCCTCATAGGATCTCCCTGACAGTTTGGTGTCTCAACATATTTTAAAGCTCTTTAGTTCCTCATAGGATCTCCCTGACAGTTTGGTGTGGTATCTCCCCCCCCCCCCCTCCCCTGTACTCACTTATACTCCTTGGTGAAAAGAGGTGCAGTGCACTTTAAGCATCTTGCTCAAAAACACAACAGGGTGGACCCTCTCAGGGTATGAACCTTGACCTCTAAATTTACAGTCAGCCATGCTTATACTCGACATCTCCACCATTGGTAAACTCCCAGTGTTCATGGTTTTATTGAGGAGAATTTATCCAACTTTTGCGCTTCTTAAATGAAAGATTTTCATCCTTAACACAAATCAATGATGCCTTGAAATTTCTTGGAGCAAAACTGTCCCAGCTTCGGCCCTGCAAGTTGCCGCTATATCTGATGAATTGTTGCTACCACTGGCTTCTGTGGGTTACACCAATACAGGCGATAAGAGACTCATGTGTGCGCACTATGTGAGAAAATAACAAGAACAAGTTTGGTGACAGAAAAGGAAAAAAGATTAATAATGACAGTAGATGTTTTTGGCTCATTTTTAAGTCTTAATGTCAGGAGGGGAACTAGGGTGAAAGTTTCCCCTTTGTAAGCCTTGTTTGAAATGATGATAATTAATGAGTATTCTTAAACAACCTGGCATGATATTTATAGGATAGTTTGGAAAAATTCCCAACTCCCAAAATCTTTCTGGCTGGTTGGATAAGTCCTTGGAGTTAATTGTCATTTTTTAAAATAATTATTTGTTAAGAAACCTTGTCAAGTACTTGCCAATGTATTGAAAGCATTTTGTGTGTGACAGAACATTTTTGCTTCTCTGTTTTATGATCAGTTTACTTTGAGGGTTAAGATTATCATGTGCTTTTTTTTTTGCATTTTTATTAAAGAAAATCAGCAAATTACTCCTTAAAGTAAATTTTTAGAAGACATTATAATTTTTTTTATGTACAAAAGCAATGATAGTTTTTCTAAAGGAACAAATCAACTTGGTGATTATTATTTTTGTTTTATGACTGTGGTGTTCCATAAACAAATTGTAAGTTGTAACCTTGTTAGGGAAATTACTGTTTATTTTTGAAAAATTTTGTTGAGAAAATTTTTGTCAAGTGGTTTCATCAACAGAATTCTTTGGTAGTTCGATTCCTTTTAATACGATTTTAAGGTGAGAGTTGAATTGAAAATGGTCCAGGATTGCATTTTTTTTCTTCGCTATGATCTATGTCCTCCATGATGGGTCCAAAAAACTCACGCACCCTCAACCAATTAGAAGCAAAGATGAAAGCAATCAAAACTTAACCACTTTATTTTTCCTCTTTTGGTTGTCTTAACTTTGAGTCCATAGTGAATTTTTGTAATATTTAACTTGGATGTGCTTGGCTGTTTTCAGTTGATAACTTTAGTTTAAGTTTGATCATACTTAATCAAAAAAGCTCGGTTTGCAAGAGAAAGTCGCAACACTTGCCTTACCTTGAAGTAGGTCAGTTAACAGTTTAGAGGAGTGTGACTGCAAAATCTTACGTATTTAATGCTTGTTAGATATTATTTAGTAATGCCAGATTATTAAAATTAGACATTTATTAGAAACATTTTTTCACCGATTGGGAAGTGTTGTCATACTATCGTTCTGAGATACCCAACACTGAACAGAAGGATGAGTATGACATTAAAGGGCTTGTAGCACTCCAAAGCTGTTTCTAGGCTAGACCCAAAAGACTGATTATTGGTGTTTCTCTGTTCAGAGTTAATAAAGTTGTTATCTATCTGTAACAAACATTTCCGGCGGCTAACAGAGGCGTTTTTTGATTGTCGTCTTTTTTTCCAGCTTTTCTGATCTGCATTACCAGTTATGTCTTCATTCAACTTCGATCTCACAGACCTTTCTTGATCTGAGTCTACCAGGATGCGCCTCTTTTGCGCCTGAGTCTGAGCGTTCCAAATTTTTTCATCTAGTTCCCTCAAGACATCTTACTGCGTATGAAGCATTGCAGGTTGTGATAGGATTATTCGAATAAACGCCACATCGAGACCGCGGCGCTTATTCGGGAAAGGTGCGCATTGACTTTTCTGCCACAAATGCGGCGCTTATTTGAGTAAATAGGGTATCTCACGATAGGAAGTTAAAGATGCGACTAAGGCGTCGTTTGATGAAACGTTGCCGATAAAATGTGATTAATTTCCTCTGAGATTTTCGCCAGTAGCTCGATGCGTTCAACTTTTCTGACGATACGACATCTTGACTTCGGTATAACACGTGAATGTTGTGTTGAGTTCAACGTAAAAACGTGACTAAATTGCTTTGAGGTTTCCTTGCCAGAAGGACCTAGAGGTTAGTGATATCACGTTTTTGTTCTGCAGGGAACGGCTTAGAAATGTACAAAGTTTTATAACGCACGTGTTTTCGCTCTTGTTCTGTTCATTAGATTCTCGTTGCCGTCGCCGTCGTGGTTTTCTTTAAGTCCCTATTATCAGCGCTTCAGCACGAGAAAAGTATTAGGCCATGAGGAACGAAAGTCGGAGTCAGTGAGAGGTCTGTAGGGGGTTTAGCACTGATAATTATTAGTGCCAGGCCCCAGACAAACCTCTCCCCGACTCGTCCTGCGGGCAGGAAAAATGCGCTACCTGCAGCGCCAAAAATGATGAGGGTTTAACTTGCTCGCAAGTTACCGGAAAGTATTCAGCAATGAGCTTAATACTACACGCCCTGCGACTGGACGTTTTCCTTTGATTTGGCAGAGAATTGCCCTGACGTCATATGGAAAAAGAAGATTCTTTGCTCTCTTCACTATCCTGACTATGGCGAACAGTTTTGAAAATGTCTGCAAGAATATTTTGGGTTGAGCAATTTAATCCTTGTAAAAGCTATTTACGCCAAGTCAGAAAAGAGAAGAAAGCGTTACAAGGGAAAATCTTGGAACACTAACACGCTGGAAGCAAGTTTCTAGTTTTACTCAAGTCTGTTGCAATCTCAGTAATTGACTCACCTTCGTCTTATGTAACTCGTTTCTGTTCTTGGCATGTTTTGAGGTCGTTTGTAATCCTTAACTGCACCAACTCATGATATTTTTGACACTTCAGGTGATAGACACAAAGCGGATGAAAATACGTTTGTTTTGGTCGGATTAAACGGTGTCAAGAGATTATAAAATCTCTTAGCGGTGACCCCTGAAAAGTGGTGTCGTAAAAAAAAACCCACCGAGGATGGCTCAGAGAGTCTCCAGCTGGGGTTCACCAAAGACTTCACGTCAGTGAATTGAGTATGTTAGATAGACGGACACCACTTGGGTGTGGTTGGTTAGTATGCCCCTCATCCACTTTGTCGATCTGCCTCGAACACCTGGAAAGTTCAGTTAGATTATAGGTAAGATAAAGTTAAAATCCTTGTTAACTCAATGAGGAAGCTAGGGCCACACCTGCTTGGGTGTGACGATTGATGGTTTTTGCCCTGTCACCGATAGCTAAGGGAAAGTCAGGTTTGACAGGATAATTTTTGCTAAAAGCCGTGTTGAGGTTATACGCAGGGATAACGCTTCTGCAAAAAGTTTGGCTTGACTGAATGACGCAGCGTTACACGTTCTATAAGCTTGCTGCACACGCAGATAGTAGGGAGAAATTGGACGATAGTTAGCAGGATCCAATTCAGCATTCTTTTTTCATGTATGACAATCCGTGTTGCCTTCGACTATTTTGGTACTGTGCCTGTTTCATATGACAAAAGGTGCGATATTCAACGCTAGTTTTACAATCATATATCTATGATAAATCGAAATCACTTGCTAAGTATGTTTAAATACCCTTTGGAAAGAGACTCTGGGGTTAGAAATGGAGTTTTGGAAGTTACATGAGTGCTGAAATAGTGTGTGGGCGTAACTAAAGAAATCACTTCTTGAAACGCACCATTGTTCAACTTTCGGATCGTCTGGCACCGAGGGTCTTTTAAAAAAAAATTCGCACAGCAGGAGTACAAGTGCATTACCCAAATGAAGGAATCCTGCACTGTTATGACTTTGAAAATGAAATGAAATTTTCAAAAGAGAGCTAAAATTTAAGGAAACTAAACTAGCACTGCTATAACATCCTCGTTTTTGCACCTACAGCATGATGCATGGGATAGATTCATTGACCGGCGTGTAGACGATAAGCCTATTCATCAAAGGAACCCTTGTTTCACTTGTTTGTGTAGAGGAGAAACATGAAGACCCCTTTCTAATCAGAAAAAAAAATCCTATTGTTTACGTTAACCCACGAGATGCTTTGTCATTGGCTCGTCTCCTCACACAACTCAGACTTGGGACACCCATGAGGTAGGTCTCTACGTTTACAAGTAAGTAACGCGTGGCAGAAAGTTAGAAAAAGACTCATATTGATGAGTTGAAAAAATGATCCCTCCCTCCGCAGTTCTTTATGCACTACGTGACCAACAATAATCCTCCAAAACAATTATTTGTTACCGAGCGGTGAGTGTTACAAAATCACACTTCTAGTATGTTTCCGATCAACTGCACGGTTTTTTCTGGAACCGCTGATTACCATTACTAAATGCAGTCTACACACTTAAGACAGTGGAACATTGTTAACGGGGTATGTTTTGTAATCGATCCTGAAATGAAATATGCTGGCAAGAGATCATAATTGTTTGGAGAAACATTTTTTTTACGTGCATCAAACAACGTTCTCTTCTCGGTACAATTGTGGTGTTGAAGTGCGTCGTTCTGTTGGGTTGTTTGTTATCGATATCTGAAGTCACCCTTGATGTCCGACCAGTATTCTTGAGCTCGTCATAATGGAAGAAAATTTGCCCGCCAAACCGCTAAGAAACAGGGCGAGAATCGCTTCACACGGCCATATGGTAAGTAAGTTGAATCAAGTTTATTCTCACCAGCTTTTATTTGGATAGAGTTTGTAGAAGGCCACGGAGTCTCGCTTCACAAAAGAGACACGTCCAAAATAATGCATTGCTTGTTCTCATAGTCTATGAAACTAGAATGATTGCTAATACACCCCTTTAGAACATCACCGCCTTTTCTCGCACCGGATATGCATCGGCGGACTTCGACGAACGTTCTCGATGTGTGGCTGGCGTAGATACCTACTAAATCGACAGAACTAAGCAGAACTCTAATACAAAAAAACACGATTTTCAAAAGCAGCATCGTTGTGCTTGCCAGATTTATCAAGCAAGGCAGCTTACAAATCAAAATACTCGAAACTTTTACGTTTGTTGTGCAGAGCGTCACTGATAAGATTAACATTTTTGCAGTTACTTATCAATACTAAGACTGTGTTTTCCAGTCTCAATCAGTGTCATAAATGTTTATGAGGAAAAAAGCTACGCAGATCGAAACGTAAATCAAAGATACACTCAAATTGCATTTTCACTGACAGAATACATTGGTGCTAGCAAAACGGCGCAGGACACCTTGCTCAGTATGCGACTGAAAGAAAAGCACGACTAATTTCAGTCATAAATCAGTTTTTGGCGTCAGGAAATCTAAATTGTTCCTTTTTAGCTCCATGATGCTGTTTGTATCACATGGAATAGAGAATTGAGGAGTTTAAATAGGGGCGGAATCGCTGGAATAAAACTTTCATCATTGCACTTTTTCAGCGAATCAGTGTTGTGATACCACCCCTCTTTATGCTGTGAGTTCCATATGGGTTCTTTTACTATTTGGAGGACACGTTTCCACGAACAAAGACCTTTCATTAACTTCATCAGATAGGTAAGTATATGTTCAAATATGTTTTTAACCTCAAAGACAAATTATGCTCCATTTCATTGTTTTCTTATCAGAAGATGCCAATGTTTAGACTACTAAGCACTGTAACCCAGACTAGTGGCATGTACCAAAACGTGACCGAATGATTTTTTCGTTTTACCAAATGTGCGAAGAGATGTTTCGCATCTTCAATAAAGTGATATCAGTCATCGTGAGCAAAAAAAAACCAGAGCAAACATGTGATATTGTTTTAATCACCTTTGCTCAGAAAGATCATGCCCCTGGAGCTGAGGGTTACAAAACAGTTACAAAATAAGTACAATCTTCATAAAGGTTTAAAAAATCTCAATAATGCAGAAAAACAACTTAAAATTTATTCGTGTCTGTAAAGTCTTCATAATCTAACTAAGCCCAGATTACCTCAATAGCCATTTTCAATGCAACAACAAAGACAGGGCAGAGTTTGAGACGTTTGGTTTCGCATCCTAGCTGGTTAGTTAATTTTTAACGGATGTATTTTAGTGGACTCGGCAGCTACTCGGCGCGAGAAATCGAAAAACACCCTAAAGATTTTCCCAAATAAGGCGACAGTGCGTGGGAAGCGAATGATCAGGAATGTAGTTGCCTTGGTAACATTGTCTTTTCAGAGTACAATAAGGATTCTATTGATGCTTGGGCTAACAATGATTGCTTTCTTATATGGCATTTCAGTTATGTCAGTGATGTTATTATATACATTAAACGGCCAATCCACGTTTGTTTTGTAGCGGATAATTTCCGTTGTGGGAGGAATGACTTGACACCATTCGTTGTTCTTCTCCTGTTTAAAGTATTATTGACGAGTATGTCCACCGCTACGAACGTGCTTTTCGACAGCGAACCCAACCAACGAACGGGAAAATGAGCAAAGTAGCTCTAACGTAGCTTGACATGTCTGAACTCGGGCACGACAAGTATTGTTTGCTTTCACCTCCGTGCGAAATGTAATTGTACTGCAACGACTTTGAATGAGGTTTTGTCGACCAAAGCGGAACCCAATAACAACTAATACAAGGTACGTCAGGAAAACAGCTGTAAAATTCAAGGTTCTCAAGTCAATTTTGAGGTTCTTTGGTTAATGTAAGCTTCTAACTGAACAACAAATTGCTGAATAATGGATCCTCTGACCGGCGGGTTACAAACACCCATGTATTGTACACAGGTCTTATTTATTCTAGATTTTTCGCTACGGAAGCTTAGGAAATTACAATACAGTGTTTACCTTTTGACCACTCCAAGTTATTCAGGGTTTTAAGAAAAAATTTCTGAAATATCGAAACGTGTACAGCCACAAAAGGTGATGTTTGTCAGACTAATATTGTTCCATTGTTTTTGCTCTTTAAAAAAAATAACCATCAAATCGACTTGTTTCATTTTCCCTTCGTCAAATTCTACAATAACGTTGTGGTTAACATTGATTTTTTAAGACAAAACAACAGGAAAAGATAACGCCAGAAAATTTTCCTCGGGTAGCCTTAAAATCACAAGGTACGATGTTTTGCACTTTGCTATATTGGGAGAATCAGAAATCCACGCAGTAGGATTTACACCTCGTGTAACATATACTTTCCGCAATCGAATGTGCTTGTAATAAATGGGTCGTCATTAAAAGATTTCCATTCACATTTTTTGTCCACGATAAGATTTATCCACCGAAGTACTTCATTATGTTACATTGACGAAAGAATACGTGAGGATGTCAATGATATAAAGATCTTTCCAGATTTGTAGCACACGAATCTAGTTTTCCTGTTTGTTGACGAAGTAGGAGACGAG